GAGGATATGTTCAGGGCATTTCAACTGCCTGCAAAAATCAACCAGCTTTGGACTTCCGGGATGTCCGAGATTCCTATGAATCTTCAACAACCATGCTTGATCGCTTGAACTGAGTGCAAGAAATTTGGGCCCATGTTTATTTGAAACCAAATCTATCATGGTCCTATCCTCCCCTGTGGTCTTGATGGCACTGGATTCACTGTTCTGTGAGGATGATTCCTCACCGGTCTGAGCTTGCAACTTCATTGGTTCAGTAAGGTTTGGAATTGTCATGTCATGTGTTGGAGTCTGAAGATTATTGGAGTTATGGTTGTGCAGGTTATGGTTATCGGTTATGTTATGGTGACTTTGTTGTTGAACTTCAGGAACATCCGCTCGGTGTCTCTTGCTGTCTTGATCATCTGGCATGTCCATTCCATGAACTCTACCGGCAGAGATTGGAGCATCGGCAGAAGAGGCGTCTGGCATCACATCAGGTATTTTGGCCTGAGCAAAAACCGTCAGGCTGACCCGAGCTGCAGTGGACTTGCGTCGAAGCCCTTTGTATGTGAGTCTTTCCCATGGCTCCCATTCTTCATCAACATAGATGCCCCCTACTCTTCGTCGGATGCAAACCATTCGACGCAGTGGTGCTTCACCTGGAAACATGGTTTTATTTGGCCCCACATATCGGTCTGTGCCTCGGCATAAAACAACATGTTTAACTGTGTGATTTGGGCACATGGCCTTCACTTGATCAACTAGTGGTCCATTCTCCATGACCATGGTGCCAACTCGGGGCGCTACGGAATCGGCGAGTTTCAGCACTGTCTGCCAATTGATGCTCTGGAAGCGTTGGGCAATGGTTGCAACACTCATTTTCTGGCCTAACCTACGCTTCTTGGTGGGGTGTTCACTTTCCTGGTTCTCAGCACTGGCAAGCTCTCCTACAAGGGTAGGATGTGATTGGTCATGGCATATGATGCGGGCAACTTGACGTGCAAACCTTCTGGGATATGCTTCAGTGAACTCTGTGAGGGACATGCGGGTTTGGCCAACCATTGTTTGACCAGCAATCGGTTGATGCTGGTGGCTTCCGGAACAGAAACGCCGGTGCAGGCATCGATGCAAGTCATCAGAGGTGGACAGGACTTCCATTCTCTTTCGCAAGGCTTGACCGCTCACAGGATCTCTCAGGTTGCCTACTTCACACATGTCAAAACGGCATTGGTGGGAGTGACCCACAACCTCCTGCATACCTGGAACCTGTTTCATGAGTGATCCATCGGGCTGTTCCAAATCAAAATGATCTCCACGCTGAACTTGATGACGATACAACACAATTCCCAGTGCAATTTGCCAAAGGTGTTCCTGACGTGACTCAAAAATTCTGATTTGAAGGTCAATTGATTTCTGTTCGTTGTATTGATTCCACTTGCACCATGGTTTGCAAACAGGACTATACCACACATGTTTCGGACGCCTGGAAATCAATTGTGTAAACAACTGCATTCTTCCTTGAGTTGTTTGTAGATCCCCTTGAGCTAGTCCAAACCTCTGAGCATGTCCACCGATCATCTGAGCCTGCTTTGTGAGCTCACTCTGGTCATGACACATGACTTCCAAAAGGTCGAGCCGACGCTGATGAAATCGGGGTGGCTTCACAGATTGCAATTCGGCGGAGAACTGTTTGACAAGCTTCTGAACCTGATTCTTGAAAGACCTATTCACTTCTCCATGAGGACTGGAAAAATGATAGTCATTATCAACATCATGAATACTGCTGTGAACCCCAAAACATTGGCTCTCTACGATCCCGGCTTGAGGGCTTTCACATGCTCGATCAGCTCGTTCAGAACTCCCTCGATGTTGCCCATGCGATGGTGAATCATCTTGTTCTCTTCCATCAGAGCTCCAACTTGGTCCTCCATCACACTCATTTTCATATTGGTGCTGATCTTCTGGCTCATGTCTTCTGCACTGTCGTCGCTCTGAAGATCTTCCCCTTTCACTGGACACCACGATGCTTCCGAAGACACTGGTTTGTTTGCCTTCTTGAAGTTCTTCACATTGTTGGGACTTGTCTCGATCTCGTGGTCCAAGCGTTTCTCCACATAGCTGATGAATTTCTGGTGGGCCACTTTGTCGCTCTTCTCGTACTGCGTCACAAACCATTCCGTCCACTTGTGGTCGGAGTATGCCTCCGTGAACTTCTGGCCCAATTTGGCCTTTCCAAATTGGATTGTTTCCTTTTCCAGCTGGGGAAGGGACATCTTCTTGATTTCCTCGAGCTGGTCTGCTGTCTGATCGATCTCTGTCTTGGCTCGAAGGGCCTGCAGTTTCTCGGTCAGCGACTTCGGCATGACGGGATCTGCAGTCACGGCAAGTTGAGACAGGAGCGTCTGTTGAGCTTGAACCGGGAATCTCACTGAGGCTGTCTTTTGATTCTTTCCGACAACTGGACATGAGTGCCTCAGAATCTCCTGCGTCATGTGGTTCATGGTGTGACATGTTCACATGACCTGGTTCTTCATGATTGACAGTGGACCTGATACCTGTTGCCTGTTGACTTCCTACATGGCTGGCTTCAGCATGTTGACGACTGTCACAAGTTTTCAAGGCATCGGACTGCAGGCATGTTGGTTCTTCAGCCATCAGACTGAACTGTGCGGAATTCTCCGGGCTCTCCCACAACTGATTGATATCCATGAGAACTAAGTTTTTCGCTGTTCGAGTTATCTTCAGTTCTCTGTTCAGTTTCTTACTCCACAAAACATCAGTATCAGTGTCAATCACAGCCTGAATCCCTTTGAGAAAAGTGCTGGAAATCAAAAAAGGTGTTCGACCATCCACAATTGCTATCTGGAAATATTGAGATCCCAGAGGCATCAAAAGGGCTTGCCTACTGACGAGCGTTTGATGATTTCCAAATCGAAAAATCAAATGGCACGGTTTTCGCTTCACACCCTGTCGGACTCCGTCTGGCAATTGAGCAAGGAGTCCTGGTACCTGTTGGCTGCCAATTACTGTTTGTGAAGCTCCTAAGTCTACCACTCCTACGGATCCAACGGATGCGAACAGGCTGGGGCAGTGGTCCAGGCTGACCACAGGATTGGGCTCAGAGACTTGTCGTCTCCGCACATGCAACCCGGCTAAGGCTTCGCTCACACTGGGCACTTGGCTTGTCACAGGGCTAGAACGCGGCATCTTCCTGGTGGCATGACGTGACATGAGTTGCTTCTTTCCTAGAATATGACCAAACACCTGGTGAACCTGAGAAACAAAACAATCTACCATGTGTTTTGATGCATCATGGTCCTCGATCACTGGCAAGGACACGATCTCTGGAGACACTTCCACTGCGGTCACAAACGATGTCGGCACGGTTGAGGCGGCTGACACTGATCCACCACCTTGGCCTCGTGATGGACACTCATTCTTCCAATGCCCCTTCTTGAGGCACAGTCTGCAGTATGAATTGGCGATCCGATTGGCAAGGGACGACTTCCCTTTTCCTTTCACTTTTCCTTTCTTTCCAAAACCCTTCTCGCCCTTTTTCACACTCCAGAAGCCTCGAAACCTGACCTTTTCCGACAAACGTTTTCTGGCATCTTGGTATGATGAATAGTATGCACACAGCTCAGTATCGTTCTGAACCATCTCTGATACTGCATCTTCAAACTGTAGTACTAGTGCTGCATCTTCATCATCATCGGCGGCCATTGCTTCTAAGGTGCCTTCATCTAAAGAAGCTTCCTCTGTCCAGAAGACCTCACCATCGGTCTCCCAGTTGTTCTCATTGGTGTCCTCCATGGTGAAAGCTGTATGGTCATATGTTTTGAGACCCTTGTCACGTTTGTTTCCAATCATGTCTTGGAAGAACCCTGAACCGATCATCCTCACTGCGGCTTCCACATTCTTGACATTCAATGTGCCCCCCTTTTCTGCACCTGAATCTACGAGGACACGCTTCTTGTCATCGCTGCTCAAGCGACTTCCACGAAGGAGGATATAGGCTTGGATCTCTGATAAGTCAATCTTTTTGCTAATCAATTCAGTCCAAATCACATCATTTCGAGACAGATATGAGTCGCTAGATTCATCAGACTTCTGTGATCCACGATACAGTGCCTTCTCCACTATGTCAAACTTCTTCTCCAACGGCACTGCACCCCATTTGCCGCCGACTAATTCCACGATCTTTTGAATTCCCTTGGCGTCATTGACTAGGACTTCACTCCTATGTAACTGCAATTTCTGAAAGGCTGTTCCTTTGCACCCCAGGACTAAGCGTGTTGCTAGCTCTAAGATCTTGTTGGATGGCCACGTCAGTAAAAGCAGTTCCACCTTGTTGGTCCATATCTCCACATTGTCGACCGACGGGTCGAAAGTTGGCACAAGGATTGCCAACTGGTTTGGCACCTGCCCAGTGTCGCTGGCTGCTTCACTAGCGGTCCCCGACATGTCGCCGGGCTCCGCTACCAGTTTAGAACTGGTAACGGACCCTGAAACACCTGAATGGTGTCCCTGACACCCTTCCCAAGCTGCACGGCAGCGCTATGTTGTTCTTTTCCTCCAGTTGATTGCACAACGTCCAATCGGCCACGATCGTAATGCCTTACCAAGCACCGAAGGTAAGGAACCAGGCACAAGCTATCCTCACTCTCCACTACGGGCTCACAGAGCCACCCAGCTGCAAGAGAATGATAAGCTGTAACCCTTACTCTTTGGATCTCAAGTGAAATGAAGATGATGTGCATTGCGAATCGGCAGTGTTGATTTCACAATATATAATATAATATATAATATAATAATATATATATATAATAAATTATAGAATAAATTATATATATATATTATATAAATAATATGATATATATTATGAATATTATATATTATATATTATTATATTATATGTATATATATATATTATTATATATTATATATATTACATTATAGATATCCATTAAACATCATTCCACCACCTTAACTCCCCATCTAAAGACACCCACGGGTCGCACCTGCCGTCACCTGCTGCGAAGGCTTCAACTCCTCCGCTAGAAGAATGGCGCCTTCACAGGCAGCCTGTCGCACTGGATGGTTTTGTGACTTATATCGCCAACTTACTGTATTAATATGGCTTATAGAATCACTGGACATAATATATATATATAGCAAATATATATATATATATATAGCATATATATATATATAGCATATATATATAGCATATATATATAGCATATATATATATAGCATATATATATATCATATGTATATATATATGCTATCATATATATATATATATCATATATATATATAAATATCGGTTGTATAAAAGGTATTTCGGGACCCCAGATCTTTGGGGATCCCCTCCGAGCGCGCCGAAGTTTTCGGCTCGCCCACCTGCCGCACCCACACCGCTGAGTCGCTCAATGCTCGGGCCTGGCGGGGATCTCAAGGTATGGTTTGGCTATAAGAAACGTTCATGATGGTGATTAATAGTTGTTAAGAATGGGATATTTATGATTTATATCTATATATATATATCAATAATAATAATATATAATAATGGGGTATTAATTTGTGGGATATTATTGATCGTTTTGGCTATCTCAATGGTTAATAATGGTGATTAATAATGATTGTATAATAGTGATTAATAGTGGATAGTACTGGTGGTTACCCTCTGGTAAACTGACATTTTGCTATGGACCATCACCATGTAAAATAGGTAAGGTAAGTCAACTATAAATTGGCAATTTTCAATAGCTATGTTAAATTACCAGAGGGTAACGGCTAAGGATGGCTAATGTATGGTCTAACAATGGTTAACTATTGTTACTAATGGTGAATGATGATTAATCATGGTTAAGAAAGGTTAATGGATGTTAATTATTAATGATGGTTAATAATGGTCAATAATGGCTAAGAATATTTGTGGCGTTACACAGATCGTTGGGTATAGCAAACGCAATAAATTGTCCGATTGACACTATAGTAAGGGAACTTTCAAAGGAATTCAAATGACATTTTCCCAACCATATGACAAATTGATACAACAATAAATTGCATGTTATGATAAATTGCATGGCAACCAATAACAAATTGATACATCTTTCCAATTGAACATATCAATTGGTTTCTGATTGCTGGGTACTTTCCGGGACAAATCAACAGTGAAATGACCTCTGGGCCAAGTGATCTGCTAAAAATCATCCCATAGAGACTCAAAACACGCAAACGACTGTGGTAGATCTATGTATAACCAAGGATCCATCTGGTAGGTTTAGCAGTTTGCGAACTGGAAAATGGCCATTCATAGTTGAATTACACTTGAATTACCTTTAAAAGTGGTGAATGTCCATCGCTGATTACCAGAGGGTATGATGTTTATGTACCCGGAATATCATGCAGTTGCAGATAAACACTTGAGCCACAAGTGGCGCCATTTCCCCCTTGAGAAGTCAGTGCTGCTCGCATCGTATCTTTGCAGAACAATGATCAAACTAAAATAGTGAAGTAGGGGATATGTAAAAAGCTTGTACCCCTGGTACTTACCAAAATAGATCAAAATAGCTGATATTTGCGGATGTTCATCCACCACAAATATATTTGAAAAGGAGCTGATCCATCATCACATGTGTTGCTGAAAAATCCCAAAAATGAGGTGTCAAAAACGCCTGTTTTCCCTCGGTTGATGGCAACAAATTGATGGTACCATTGGTCTTCTCCAATTTGTGGTTGATCCATCAAGATCATCTTCACACCGAGACTTGCGCAAACCGCGAAGTCCATCGGGGAGACCCCCAAAAAACTACCAATCTGGCAGCCAAAAATCAGGAGAATAGCATGGGAATAAACTTGGGAATGTTATGGTAAAGGGACAATTTTCTGTAGTACTCTCTGGCAATCCAAGAGTCAGCTATGTTATAGATTGCCCCTTTATAATCTTTATAGACATTAGCTATGAAACGTGGCAATTTATAGACAATTGCGGATTGGCTGTGGGCACACAACCTTCTGTCGTCCCCGCAGCTACTAGTTGGTTGAGGGACTCCCGGTTCGTGGAGTACTTAAAGGTCACCATCAAGCAACTAGAACAAACCCAAACAGAGGTAACGTCAAACTCGGACTAACAAACCCTGGTTTATTGGTTAGGGTGCTACCCCCAAAAAAGCGATGCAGTTAAATACTTAAATGATCTTAAATGGTACCGGTACCCCTCCAATGATCAACAGCCTATAGGGCTTTGTTAGTACAGGGTTGACATTGTGGTTAACATTCCCATCACATTCTCATTATATACCCTCTGGTTCTTTAACAGTTCGCCATGGAACATCACCATTTTGATAGGTACATCATCTATAAAAGGTGCATTTCCCATAGTTGTGTTAAATAACCAGAGGGTATCCCACGATATCTCCCAGTGTCTCTGATGATATTCCAATACTTCTCGTTCAATCCCATCAAATCCCAGTAACCGTGGCTCGGCTGTGGCGCCACACCAATGGCACTGCCCAACCGGCAGGCGCCTTGCGGTGCGGTCAATGGGAGCTTGGGCAACATGTGGAAATCACTGGAAAACACTTGATAATCATGAACATCTTCTAATGTAGAGACGTATATGAGTGTATATATATATATTCCCATGATTGTGTGCAAGTTTGAATCGGTATATGTATGTGTTTCTTTTGCAGAACATATCCAGTAAATGTATGTATTCCAATCGTTTGTGGGTTAAATCCAAATTTGGTGGTTAAAGTGCCCAATATCCCTATCTATATCTATACAGTAGGGCTAGACATGCAACAAGTACTCATATCTATGTATATATATATATATATTTGTATACATACACGTAGGGTCAAACCCTATTATTTGATGGTTAAAGTCCAAAATACTCCCCGTATATTACATCTTCACGTCATTATATATATATATATATATGTCGGTATATATATAATATATACATAATATACATTTCTCTATGTACATCTATGTACTATATGTATCATCAATATATCATACAAGGTGGTGCCCCATAGCTAACTAAGTTTTTCATAACTAACTTATCAAGGGTTTATGGTGGTGGAGCAAAACTGTAGTTCGAAGGGGGGTATAAGCGAACCGGCACAGGGCACCAGCGTGCAAAGCACTTACTGTGAACCAACACCAACCATCATTAATCATTATGAACGATTCTTATCCATTAGTAACCATTCTGAACCATGATTAACAATAGTTATTGACCATCAGTATTAAGCGTCATTGGCCACTATTAACCATTCAATATCCATTACTAACCATCACTAGCCATGATTAGCAGGTTGTTAACCATCACTCAGTAAGATATTATTAACCATTAACCATCTTTGAACCATCATTGATAGTTCTTGACCATGACTGGCCATAGTTATTGACCATAGTTATTAATCATGTTTATCCATTAGTCTTTTAGTAACCATTCTCAACCATGATTAACTATAGTTATTAACCATTATGAGCCATAGTGATTATGATTAACCATAAATAGCTATAACTACTATCTAATAGTCTTAATGCGACAATGGTGTCAACCAACTATCAACCAATCTATTGTCGCATATGATAATTAATGGAATCAACCATAATTAACATCATACAAAAATACTTATATTACAATGGTGTCAACCAATTTACCATTCTATATGTTAATTAACTTACTAACCATTATATAATTCAACGGAACCATTCCCGTGGTTGACCTACGCTCTCCCTTCAACCATTCCAGTGGAGAAAACAAATTGGACATGTTCACGACTAAATCCCTAAAAGGTATCCATTAGTAGCATTCTTAATTAACTATTATGAATCAATGTTGTTATAATGGTTAAGAACTATGGTTAATAACTATGGTTAATGGTAAATAATGGTTCACAATGGTAAATATTCTCAATAAATGAACCATATATCATTGACCATTCTTAATGCTAAAGAACATTAATTATTTTCATAAATTCATATGATAGTGGTTACCCTCTGGTAATTCTAGCTATTAGAAATGGTCCAGTCGAAATCGTTGATTTAGCCACTCAAAATGGTGAAAATCTCAGCCAAACAGCACCTCCCGGGCGCCGGAGAGCGCAAAGGCCACCTGGAGGACAAGAAGAGACTGGGATGTTCGCTGATCGAAGGGGATTTGATGGTGGTTTGAGTGAAATTTCATGGTTTTTATGTGTTTTTATGGACATTAGAACTAGTGATTTCCAGGTTTTAGGTGGGTTTTGATGGTAATGGACATGTTCACCTAGTAGAAATAGCAACCCCCACATAGAAAAAGTTTGAAGCCTGGAAATAGGATGCACATGTTCCTTTTATAAGATTCTGGAAACACTTTTTGGCGTCTCTGAGGAAGTTACTCCAAGTGTCATTTAATGGGGATTCTATGTTGATTTTACCTATTCAAGTTATGCTGTGTTGGTAATTTACTGCGATTCAATGGTCTTTAAATGGGAATTTCAGATGATTTACCATCTGAACTGCTAAGTCCATGGCAAAATAGATAAGCTTAATATTGTTTAGCTATCCAATGGATAGTTGTTTCGTTTGTATAGGTTTGTAAGTTTTGTTGGCAAATTCTTAAACATCTAATGTGGTAAACCCAAGAATAACCAATCCCCAAAATTTCCATAAATGGATGGTGTAGGCATCCCCAAATGCATCCAAAGGCTACATGTCTATAGCATTGGGTTTACCACACTTCTGGGTGTTGCTGGCTGGTTAGATGTATACTTCCCCATAGCAAGAGATTAACTCACTGAGCCGATAGGCAACATCACTAGCATTCTTCGTGGTATTGAAGCAGCAGACGTCGAGGAGTTTAAGCAAAAACCAAGCGAATGGGATCACTAGATGAATCGGAAAACACATGGTAGGACTTCGCTAAATAATTATCTGACGTTTTACCAAGACATCCGCCACGAAGAAAGGACAACTACTATCTCCTCCATCCAGTTTCAATGATTCCGACTCATCCCAGCCCATCAAAGATAGCAAGGTGCCGCATGCACGGCAGCTGCTCGATCCAACGCCTAGGTCGGACAACGGATCTCCGTTGAAATCTATTAATGATAACTGAAAAGTAATGATAGCTGAACAGCATGAACCAGGCAATAATGGGCTTTTCACAGGGATAGAAAAATGGCATGTGTCATGTGTTTACATATATATATATAGAGAAAATCACACAGGTTTAAAGCCATCATAATAGCATTTCGGATTAGACAATCAGAATAATTCTTCGGAAACATAACCTTTTCTTTGTGCCAGTTAAATCCGCATTGAACTGGCGATCCCAATCCCTCACTGGCGAGCCATCTCCAGTCCCATGAGTCAATGCAGGTGACGTCCATGGGTTGAACCCTCTGACGCCACAATGGCTGTGTCAAACAAAAACTCAATGGTGTTTCTGCTGTCCAATATTTACATCAATTCATAACTGATAGGCTGACGGATATTCATCTTCCAATATAACCCCTATATATAAATTATATATATATATATATAGATATGTATATATATATTATATAAGGTCAATAGGTCAAAATCAGTGTACCCCATTGTCCCCCAAAAACTAGATATCCTAATAAAGAATGACCAAGATCCGCAGGTCCCTTGGGTCTGAAAAAAATACACGTACCCCGAAATTCCCTGGTTTAGAAATTCATTTTCCCAATCAAATTTGCCATAAATTGGTGTATCCCCAATTTTCAGAGCCCATTTCCATGATGCATTGGTGAAATCCATATCTTTCAAGGTAAAATATGTAAAATTCTCATGTTTTCCACCCCAAATCCGCCCTTTTTCATGGTGAACCAGGACCACGGTTCCGTGTGGTTCGTCCAAAGGGCATCGGGACTCGCAGATGCCGCCTGGGCCGCCTGGGATATCAGAGGAATTCAACATGGATGGGCCACGGTCAATATTTGGTATATAGATGTATATAGCTCCAAGTCGTAATCAGTTATAACAATCAGTTATAAGGAAATAGACTAAATAGACAATTCGATAAAACTAGACCATTGATATAAGAATATGCTATAATTCAATCTAATCTATCAATTGTCAAATTCAATATAACCTGTGTTGATTTGGACAAATATGATAATCACCAGCGAATATTTATCATCCGATATAAACATATTACTTGGATGAACGGAATTATAGCATATTAGACCACTGTTTTCACATGGTTATGGGTCAAGAACCTGGCACCCTAGGTACCCTGAGTCATAGTTGGTATGCCTGGCTGTTTTGTTTTCTTCTACTGAGACTGCCATAGACTTGGCCCCTCCGTGGATTTGCTGACCGGTTTAACATCCCGTTCGTACCAATACGATCACCATAAAAAATCAACATTGAATCACTACTTCATCCATTTCAAACTCACTATGAAACTCCATTCAATCCCATTAATTCACCATTAAATCACCATAAAAATACTCCATAAATAAAATCTGAACATCTTGTGCCAACAAGCATTGGCGCCTCCAGCACCACTGGTACCGCTTGCGAGGGATTGGCGCGCGCCACCACCCGCAGGCATTCACGGGCCGCCAGGGCCGTGTTACTCACCTGGGGTGCCGAGACCGGCAGCAAAATGCCACGATGAAGGTTTTGAATGGGAAAATCCATGGGAACAATCCATGAACTAAATGGATCTAAATAGCTGGGAAAATGGTCCATGATGAATTTCATTGCTGTGGGCCATGATTGCTGGAGGGTAGATATGGTTGGTTTCAAGCAGCTGAATTACATATCTCTCAAGGCCCACCTGGTGCCGATACGTAAGATTATCAATTATCCCAAGTGTCAACTAAGTAGTGTCTAATCTCATTGGATCCGCATTCCAAAGATGAATCGGTAGGGCTGAACTACAGTCAAACAATGATATTACAGTCAACTGCACTGAATCCTTAATCACCAATTCCCAGCAAATTACCCTGAAAAATCCCTTACGTCCCCTTGTAGACCCCATTGAATCACATCAAATCCCCATAAAAAAAAACGACGGTTGACCAATCCCCAGTAAATCAATTTTGGCTTGTCTGAAATTAGGATAACCCACAATCAAACTGGCTCATCATGATGATAGATCCTTTTGATTTTAAGATATCCTATTTTCAGAAAATCATGGTTTATCATTTTCCAAATTGAACTCGCTATTTGGGGATATACCCCACCTCCATCAAATCACCCATTCACAGTTTCACGGTCCATTCTTACGATTTCCCGGTTGCATGGGTCCAGCTGTAAGAATCAACCAATTGTAAGGTGCCCCCCCCATCCCCCCCCAGCTATAAGTTAATTTATAAAGCCCCAACCATATTTATCCTACTAAGATGTAAACTGTAGATACTATTAACCCAGTGATATATTACTTAGGTATAACATAGTTAGATATATCAAATAGTTACAGCTACATATAGTCTAGAGACAAACGTCTATGGCTACAGATATGAAATATCAAGAAACACAGTTTATACAAGTTGGATATTTAACTCCTGCGGCTTGGATTGTAATATCTATAGTTATCTATATGTCTTTATCTTTGTCGGATAATATCTATACTGTATCTATGATAATTTAAATAGACAACATCATACCGAATCATACCAATGGGTATTTCAGGATTCTGAAATGGAGGGACTGTACCATATAAGGCCATATTTTGTCGGGATATTCACTTACATCGTCCTTATATAGGCCTTATATATTGTAGGTACCTCCAATTTAGGTTCCTGAAAAGGCCATTAATTACAGTCAAGACTTTCTGGGACAACAAGAATCTGAGAACCAAAAGTTAATTCGATTCTGATTTGAAAGTAATTTATACCTCTAATTCTCGCTGGAATCTCTTTAATATCAGAGTCTAACCCATCTAAGCCAGTTGGATGGAATATCCCCAGTAGTGTATGGGTCATATTTACATCTCAGTTGGAATCTTATCATATATAGATTCATACACATATAAACATACATATATATATATAGGTATTTATATATATATACATTGTATATGAACATCTATATATATATATGTATATATATATCCTATATATCCAACTGTAGATATAATCACTATCTTTGAGTAGACAACAACAAGTCCTGTGCCTCGTCCAAGTCGTCCACCGAAGGCGCTGCATCCTTGGCGGCCGCGAAGGCGGCCGCCACGGCCTGCTGTCCCTGGCGGACAGGGTGGGGGTCAGGGAACCAACAGATTCTTCTATACTTTACTGTCATGAATGTATGCATATGTATATATATGTATAAATCATTATTGTTATTGTTGTTGTTATTATTATTATTATAAAATGTAGATATACATATATTATGAATAGAATAAGGATATATATATATATCAAATAATAAATTACATATATATATATATATACACATAGTGTATATGTATCATACACGTGGAAGAGAAATATATGACCAATTGTCTGATCCCAGGAGCACCTGGGACGCCTGTCGCAAATCCTGTCGCTTTGGTTTACCCACAATTGGTGATCCTTTTGTGTCAGGATGTGTCGGGTCAACATGTTTAATTTATCTGGTTGGTGGTGCAATGTGGCCATCTTGAAAAATATGAGTTCGTCAATGGGAAGGATTATATCCCATATATGACATGGAAAATAAAAGCCATGTTCCAAACCACCAACCAGAAATTCTACCAAGTGGTTGTTGAACATCACTAGCTTCATGGGTAAATCCTCTGTTTTCTGGGGCATTTTTAGAATCTCCAAGGTGTTTTGCCGTGTTGATCCACCATCCCCAAGACCTCACCGTGACCACGCCTGAGGTGTGGACAGCACTTGCGGCTCATGACGCGCCAGGGCGCGGAGGAGCTGCAAGGCCTGGAGAGGAGAGCTGAAAACCTGGAAACTGATTATATAATTATTCATTATCTTTTGGCATGGGAAAAAAGGACCACACCGATCTGAATTATCTGAACTTGATGGGGATCAGCAAAACCAAGGAAAAATAGGGGGACTCAAGAGATGACTGAATTTGAAAGATGGAGACTGCGTGTCGATGAAATGTTTCTTGAAGACGATCTAGGGTTGAAACCGCGGTTGGCGTTTCCTGCTGATTTTCCCTGAATTCTGGCAAGATTGGGTTGGGATATCCACCATATCAGTAGAATATATTTCTATATCATTATATCATTGATGGGCTTGGGGGAACCGCCAATGATATGGAAATATGTTCCAATGATTCAAAGGATTTCTATTTAGTTCTATATACTTCGGGGAAGCACCAATCACTACTGAAAATCCCGATATCCCATTTCAACCGCAATAAATCCCTATTAAAAATCCCCATCACATCCTATAAAATCCCAATAAATCCATGTCAACTCCCATTCATCCCTATAAAATCCCAATAAAAAACCTGGAAAATCCATGGAAAATTCCATGAGATCACCGGCACCTGGATCTGGCACGGCTCCACACTGGGGCTGCTGTTGCAGCCCAGGACCCGGCAAGCCTCGTGGCGCTGTGGCGCTGTCGTTACATGGGACAATTGGGAAGCCCATTAGATTTTCAATAGCTATGTTGAATTACCAGAGGGTATCTGAATATTTTGACCAACAATCTCAATTGGTCAATGTCTAAATGTTTGACCCGCACTTTGAGATTTAGTGGGATGAATTCATGGGATCATCACCATTTCTAGATGGTTTCTAGATGTTTCTAGGGCTTTACCCTCTGGTAAACAAACAGTTGGCTACTGAAAATGGCCATAGAAATAGTTGACTACCCATTAATAGCATGGTGATGTTCAATAGTTTTTTTTTTGTATGTTTACCAGATGGTATATTGAAATAATGGGAATGAAACAACATGGGATGAATGATCTAGGTACCCCCATTAATTAAATATATATATATATAACCATGGGATGAATAATCTAACCGCCACAACCATATATTTATTGGATATAAACTAAACATGTGGTATGGTTATGGAAATCCCGTGAACCATGCTTTCTAATTGGATATAAGCTAAACAAATGAATAATGTACATATTCATTATGGGGTATATTACTTGAATACATTGGAGTATATAAGTACCCAATTCCATGTACAGTAGTTCATAGTTAAATATATTATGGTATCATGGCAGAATATGGCAAAATAACATCATCAATCCTTTAAATGACACATGGGGACCAAGACTATACTCCTAAATTCCGCGAAAATTTAGAGGAACTGTACAACTACAACAACCGTGTCATGAATCACAACCATGAATCGTAGAACAAGAGTGGAAACATACTGGATACCATATACCCTCTGGTCTATTGAAAATGGCCCAGTCGAAATAGTGGATTTACCCAGCTAATAGCATGGTGGATCTTTCCATAGTTTTTTGTATGTTTACCAGAGGGTATGTCATCATCATCGATATTTGGCAGTTTTTTTCCATGGGAACCGTCTCGATCAACCATGGGTGTTTTGGGATCTGCACAGATGACCTGACCACAACACAAATCCTGAAACTACGGTAGTTTCAACATCGAGAAAATATGTTCTTCATGTGTGAAACTACTTGAAAAATGTATGGAATATGTTTGAACATCGAGAAAATATGTTTGAAACTATCAAGCAAAGAGTTGGACATGTTCTTTCCCTATTGATAGTAAGCAAGTACCCAATTGACCCAACCGAGGGTTATGCAGGGAACCGCAAAATCAGGAAAATACCAAGTTTTTTTTTCTGAAGATGGGATATCCCGGTATCATTCTGAAGGGATGGATAAAACAACATGTTCCTCATTCAATGGCCACAACTCGTATACATACCACAATTTCAGACAGGCTCAACTAAAAGTAGCAAGGAAGGTAGTCTTCAAAGGCTGTGCCGGCTCTAGGACTCTAGAGAGTGGTGAATGGTTTCTACTGGTAAAATTGCACCATCTGGTTGTTGATTCAAATAAACAAACATCCTAAGTATCCGCCACTCCCACGACGCTCTAAGTACTCTAAGAGGTCAGTGTGCATGCGAAAAACAACTCTATATATTATATATATATTATAGTTGTTATTTATGTATATATATATACATATATATATATATATACATATACATATATACATACATTCTAATATATTCCACACCTGCAGACTGTCCAACTTGTGCTGTGGTACCTGCACCTGGGCTTCCCGACCAGCTGAAGCGAAGCCGTTCGCAGCGCCTGCGTCAACCCAAGGCACCGGCTACATTTTCATGGGGATATGATGGGGTCTAACATGGTTTAACGGGGTTACTAGGGCAAATATAATATGTATATATATATAATTATATATATATACATGACGATTCTAAAACCATTGGCATATACAATTCGGATACGTAATTAAATATAATACATATTCTATCTCTATTTAACTATACAAAAACATTTCATGAACTACCAACCATAGTGGGGATGTGTCACAGAGATGTTTCATGGTTTTGAACACAGAGTACAAGTACCCAAAATGAGAAACCCGAAGACAGGATGGTGATCACTACTGACTTTCACCAAACCGCTGGGAAGTACTGGCATTATGCCAGCGGTCACTGTTTCTGGGCATTGCAAAAGCTTACCAATAAATTGGATGGTTGCTGCTTTCTTCAACTCCCAACATTCGTTCTTCTTGAACTTCGCGGATGTTCATTCAAGTCACAACCTTGTGGGCAAACAATGAGCAAAGACACCAGAAATCATGAGACTGTCAGCTGCAAAAAACAATGAGTGTGTGACCTTAATTTCTCGAAAGGAATATGTCCTAAGCTTTTCCGAACTAATTCACCAACTCAATGGAATGAAATTAGCCAACAATCACTAATAAGTGATTAAATCCATCATTGAACGTAGTAAACGGCATGAAATCACCATTCAGCTTACCTCAGATTTCAGCTCCGGTGCCAGACGGCCCAGGGCGCGCAAGGCTGCGACCAGGACCTGGTGATCTTCGGTGCGAATAACTATGAAAACCACCAAGCAGCTATAGATTTTACCATCTTTTACCCCTATGAATCAGGTATATCAGGTATTAATCACTATGAATCACTATTAGCCACCATTATCATATCATCTGTGGTTGATAATCACTATTAACCACTATGAATCACTATCATATCATACCACCTGTTGATAATCATCTGGTTTCTGGTTGAGCTGGGATGATTCCCAAGATATGGAAAAATCAAAAATTGATGTTCCGGTCACCACCGGTCAGCAACCAGTTATTATTTGATCACATGAATAGCTAGTTGTTATATGGATCATCAACTATTTACTATAGTTATTTGATCAAATCACATATTATTTGATCACCATTGATATTGAACTAATGATATTAGTACATATTTATATATTGTTCACTTTTGATGTTGATAATTGACAACGATGATCAATATGATTCCATTAGTGGATTATCAATGGATATTATATCCCATTACTAAAACTAATTGTATATTATTCACTAATGGATTATCAATAGTTGTCAACATCATAAGTGGATAATATATATATATATAGCATTATATAGCATTACCATAATAAATCAATAATATCATAATAATGATATTCGATAAGTATTGAACAAAAAACAAATCATATCATCCCACGGACAATATGGGATAGTTGAACATTGGTTTCGAACAACTTTCCATGTTTTTCTCGCTGAACATGCCCATTTATAGGTGATGTTCCTATATTTTCCGATGATGCTCCCATTAAAACCTCCATATTCATAGGGACTTCCTAGCGCTAGCCATGTTCACCGGAGGGAAGATCAATAAATGGCATTCACCAGAAGAAATACATGGAATGTCTTGACCAGAAATTGTTTCAATGTATTCTCTGGTAATTTAACATAGCTATTGAATGCTATTGAAAATAGCCATTTATAGGTGATTTATCTATGAACAGAGGGGGCTTTTCGCCTCAAATCACTCAATACCTCAGATCTTTGGATTATCCAACACGACGTGACGTGAGCCAAAATCATTTCTTCATTCGAATTCATTTTCCATGGAGTATCAGTTGATGGAAACAAGCGTCTTATTCATGATTCATTTTTCTTAGGTCCCTATGTTTTTATGTTTCAATCCGCATGATTTGGCATCTGAAATCCCGCATTTTGAAACAAAATAATCTCCACATAGAATGAGAATAGTTCGATGATTTTCCCAGCCAGAAACCTCCATTTTAGGGATTTCCCAACTGAGTGGAATTGGCCCCAAATTCACCTGTGGCGCTTCCTTCTCTGAGCTGCTGAGTGAAGATACTGCCACCTGGGGTCGAAAGTGATGACCCCGTCCAGAAAGAGCGGAGGATTTTAACATGTGTTTTGACAAGGAACCCAGGAACCCAGGAACCCTCCAATCTGTGGAATCAGTGCCATTTGTTGATGAACTTATAGATTGGTTACGATATTTTTCCACCGCCCAATTTGAGTGGGCATCTTTTTCTTGCGTGAGACCATAAATTTCATCGTTTTTTGGCGGATCAATCATTTGGAGTGCTATGTGAGGTCTATACCTTGACAGCTTAAAATGTGAATGTTTCGCCGGGAGATCATAACAACATTATGTTTAACAGATCTCCCAGTAGATTCAGTCAATCAAAAAATGGAAAGAAAATTGAAAAATGGAAAAGCAAGCTGTTTTTTATTTCAAAATCATCATCATCATCATCATCATCCACATTATCATACTTTATCCTCCCACTCCCCCAAACTGTTTGGGGTCTCTTGCCGGGAGATTTCTTTTACAATTATAAACCATTATCAATTAGCATTAAACACTATTAAGCATCATTAACCACTATTATTAACCACTATTAACAGGATCAATATTTTCCTGATCAGGAAACACATTTTTAACCACTATTAACCACTATTAACCACTATTAACCACTATTATCATCAGGAAACACTATTAACCGGATCATTTTGCTGATCATGTTCCTTCTGGGAATCAGTGGTTCACCTCCAGGGTTGCGTCGGCAGCGCCATGCCAGCTGGGCAAGTCCTCCAGACGCTCATCCCATGGTGGATGATGCTAGAGTTGATCAAAATCCCATGTTTTTATCCCATGAAAACCGGAGAGTTACCATGGTTCATCGGATCAATTCGGATTATCATCTGGTTCTACTCAGACTTAACTTCTTGGCATGGTAGTCATGGTTTAAACATGGGATATGAAATGTACCCCTTTTTCATGTGCCACTGCAAATCGGAACAATGATGATAAACCATGTGGAATATGTCTCCCCCGAACAGACAAACCCGTGACGGGATAGCTTGACCCTGTGGTGGTGAGCACTTTCCTTGCACCTGGGCTGAGAGGCTAAGTCACATAGATATTCTTATCTGCAGTATATATGATATGGTATAACGTAGATTCCGCAATGAATTAACACAGTGACACGGCGCCATCTTTTCGGCTCACGCTCCGAGTCGGCTTAGCTCCACTTCACTACACCTTTGGAGCCTCGGGGGGCGGAGAAATTCCTACTTTTGAATGAAAAAATGTTGAAGTAACTAAAGTAAAGAACATGTTGGTGGATTAGGATGGATATCATTATGCCCTGGGGTGGACTATGGTGGACTATACTTTACACACACATATACCAAACTGCGTCATAAACTGGCCAAGAATTCCTTTTGGAGACATATTTCAGTAGAACGGTGTGTTTACACTCAACACTCCTTAGGCGGAAACACCAAATTGATGGGGGATACTAAAGTAAAGCCCCCAAAAAGACAGAAATTACTTTACTTCGTGTGATCCCCACCATGACATTTATACATTTTGTTACTGGCAAATCTTCTGGCATTCTATCTGACATATTTTCTGGCATTCGATCTGGCATTCTATCTGACATTCTATCTGGCATTCTATCTGGCATACCTTCTGGCATTCTATCTGGCATATCTTCTAACATTCTATCTGGCATATCTTCTGGCACTCTATGTGGCATATCTTTTGGCGTGGATACTCGCGGTTGAGGTCCGGCAGGGAACACTGGGCGTGGGATACTCGCGGTTGAGGTCCGGCAGGGAACACTGGGCGTGGATGGTCGTGGTTGAGGTCCGGCAGGGAACACTGGGCGAGGATGGTCGTGGTTGAGGTCCGGCAGGGAACATTGGGCATGGATGGTCGTGGTTGAGGTCCGGCAGGGAACACTGGGCGTGGATGGTCGTGGTTGAGGTCCGGCAGAGAACACTGTGGATCGCGGGTCGCAGTTGAGCAAGGACGACGAGGACGACGAGGACGACGAGGACGACGAGGAGGACGAGGAGGAGGAGGAGAGGAGGACGAGGCAGGAGGAGGAGAGGAGGACGAGGCAGGAGGAGGCGGAGGAGGAGGAGAAGGAGGAGGAGAAGGAGGAGGAGGACGAGGAGGCAACTGACATAAAATCTAACAACCCTCACCTGGCAGGTGGGGAAAAAAACATCATTTTGTCACTATGCTAGTAGGTTTAATGTGGGGTTTCATTTAAGGATGACATCATTGGAGGGGCTTCACCAAACCTCACCAGCTGGCCATGGCACAAGGTGAGCACCCCCGCAGCATGCAACGCGCGGCTACACGCGCTGACCTGGTCCATGATAAACGTGGATATAACGTGGAGAAATTCACTGCTTGGTGGTTGAGCCCTACCCCTCTGAAAAATCTGACTTCGTCAGTTGGGATGATGACATTCCCAATATATGGAAAAATAAAAGCCATGTTCCAAACCACCAACCAGTTCATGTTGAAAGAAAGTACAGCAGCCGGACGTAAGAATTCGCATAATCTGCGATCGCAAACCATCACTGATGATCGAACTGAGATTTCGCCACTGAAAAGTTGCAGCGCTACCAACGTTTTGGAAAAAATAAACATGCTATCAAATACCAACACAGTCACTTAAAACTGAAAGAGTGTGAATCAGCTACCAACAAATTTTAGGGAAATCATCATTCATATGCAATATACATGTAAGATCATGTAAGCAACCCAAAATGAAGACAGGACCCAAAAACGCAATTACATGTGAAGATGAAACCGATTGAAAGTGGACATATTTGGTGTTTGATCATTTCTTGTCCAATTTGAAGCTGGTTTTGTGGGACCACTCTTCGCTCAACGTCTTCATCTTTCATTGTGCCAACGTGGTGACTGTGGCTGGAACCTTTGGAGCTGGTTAAATCACCATTTTAGCTAGTTGAATCACCACGTTAGCTGAATGAATCACCATGTTAGCTGGTTGAATCACCATGTTCGATGGTTAAATCGCCATTTTAGCTTGTGGAGTCACCATTCCAGCTGGTTGAGTCACCATGTTAAATGCCAGCAATCTTCTCGTTTTCACCCCCTCCAGTTGTGGAATTTGCCGGGCGGAGGCACCACCAAACTGCAGGCAGGCACATCCACTTCTACCTGGCGTCACGGATGTGGGTTTAAGGGGATAAGCTATGCCTAGTTCTGTCATGGGGATGATAATTCTTTCATTCAAAATCTTGAGTCCAATTTTTTTTCGGATTTGTGTGAAGGGTGGTGTTTTTGGTGTTGCTTCTCCACATTTTTAAACTGCTCCCATGGTGCCAACTGTGCCAAGCGCCAGCGCCCCACCTGCGTCTCCAAGGCCCAGTGCATCAAAGTGAGAGATCTGGGCCAGGCATCGGCAGCGCCCTCAGCTTCGAGATCAATGGATTGGTTGGAACACTTCGGAAAGCCCCATATTGTCCATATTTCATGGGAAAATCCATGGTTTCCTGAAATTAGATCCAGGATTCTTGATGATTGTGTTTAAATGATTTTAAATGTCTTTTTGATCAAGAAATAACTCACCAATTTGTTTACAATTTGAATGTGATAAAGGAAAAGGTCGGAATTGTGACCCAAATACATGCTAGATCATGCTAGATCCTCTAAGCAGGTCTAAAATAATAAATATTAGTGCAGTGTCTTCAATACGAATTTAATATTCCGAACCGATCGATTGAGGTTCTATGCCAGCTTCAAAGTGCAAGGTCATGACCAGAATCGTGCAGCCTTCATCATCTCTGGGCAGAATGGGCTCAAAGTATTCTTAGCATATCTTGGCATCATAAAGGATTTGGATGTACCATTTTCTTCAGCCTTGGTTTTATAATCACTGAGTAAACTTAGGTAAATTGGCTGAAGTAAAGTGACCCCATTTTACCCCTCTTGCAGCTGTGATTCACCAGATTAAACCAGATTAAGCCATATTGAACCAGATTGTGCCAGATTAAACAATGTTATATCACAAACAATATTAAACCATCATCAACCATTGGATCTGACCCATTTTTCTTAGACATTCCCCATGTGTCATTCACCATGCCGCCGAGTATCCCATGCCGCCAGTGCCAAGCTCGTTCCAGCACGATCCAGCGAGAAATGGCCCAACCTTGCGAGAAAGATTGGCAGCAACCATTAGCAACCCCAACAAAAGATTGAACTGGTTGCTAATGGTTGCTGGGGAAATATTAGTAAACATTAGCAACCAGATATGAGTGGATATCTCTGGGGAAATGATACAAAAATTAACTCACCTGAAATAAATCAATGTTGGGCCATTTTGGGATGATTCCCCTTATTAACCATGACTCCAGTGAGGTTTGCCCAGATATATGTGGATCTTGGATCTCTGGCAATTAATGAGTCGTAAATATCCTCTAAAATATCTAAAATATACTTCGGAACATTTTTTTCCGGTGGATGTTTATGACCAACCCCCAACAAAATATGAAAACAAACAACACTTTTGGAGGAAACATGTGGGATCATTGGTGCATAACAAAAAAACACATATGTATATGCAGTATAGTCAGCAAACAGTGGATTTTCCAGCAGTGGATGCTGACATGAACCAGCAAGAGGTGCCGGATGGATTGTGTTTTCAAACAGTCGGATTGGAAAGGCAAACAAACGACTATCATCATTCAAAGGATTGCTCACAAAAATGGAGCTCATTGGTCGTTTCGACATAATAGCCATCAAACAACTGAATGACCCAAATAACATGTTTTTTTTTAACACAATGAACTAATAAGTGAATGATGTGTCTGGTTACGGTCCTTTGTTCATCACTATATAGTCCGAAGATGTCCAAAGATTTGATTGATCGAGGGTTCATCGTTCCAGGGAGAGATGAAACCACAGATGTGCCATTGGTGAACCTACTCTGCCGCAGACATAATGTGCCCTGGTCTTCTCGGGAAACCCAGGTGCGTTTGCCACGAAACAGCCCCCAAAAAGAAAGCATGAAAGAACTCAATAAACTTCTGTTACGCATCAACCATGAGTAGTCAATCGAATAAGTGTGTCCACATACTTTTCAATATTTTTGGAGCTTTCCCAAGTGAAACCACCCCCAGTTCTCATCCATTTTGGGGACTTTCCCATGAACTATGGACATCTCTTGGGGTACCGGCGAACATCCCAGTAACATCTCCAAGCTCCTCTGCCACCCGCCGGCACGAGTGCCCGCAGCGGCGGAGTTCGTCAGAACCAGATCGCGGCGGAGCTGCAAACCTGCCCCAAGGGAGACCTACTTGCCTGGTGCTTAGTAATTGTTACAATGTGGTGCCCCAGTTTGTTAGCTAAGTTGGTGAACATAACTCCAATAACTATGGTTTATGGTACGCAAATAACTATAGTTATTGGGGCTTATAAACCAACTTATAACTAGGGGGCCCCACTTTGTAACGGATTAATGGATTTATGGATTAGTTTGAAGAAATCTGGATTAATACGGATTAATTAATATGGATCAATATGGATTAATGGATTACTGTATTCATGGATTAGTGTTGATATTAACCATGGCTGATTATTAACACGATCATTCGTATGCATTAATTAATGTTAATGACAGATTAATGTCAATGACAGATTAATGAGGACCAATCAACATATATCCATGATGATGATACTGTTAATAATTGTCATGATATTCTTAATATAGTTATGATGGGAATGGGATGATTGCTAATGGAATGATCCAATCCAAAACTATTATCAGTCCATAGAGGTTTCCTAAATGTGGAGGATCCATAATATATCAGTTATAAAACATATATGGAGGTTTCCCAATATAGGGGATCCCCAAGTCATCATAGGAAGGCTTCAACGAAGTCATGGCGTTTCGGAAAACTCCATATAGCAATAGCTATGGAACTCAATGGGCTCTTATTTTCGATGTTTTGACCCCCAAAAAAATGCGTTTGATGTCGATAATAGAGTCATTTGGGTTCTGGACAAAGTAGTCATACAAAAGGGGCAAAGGTATCAAATTGGCGGGGTCAAATCTATTTTAACGAATCATAATTCGAGTGCCTGGGGCCTAGGTATAAAAAATACTTTACTTAGTTTGAACCAACACATTACATATGTGGATATATGTGGTATCATGTGACACATCAATATACCTGATACGCAAATCACAATACCACCCATCATTTGCATTTACAACCTACATTGGTTTCTGGATCACCCAAGTATCTAGAGAAATCTAGTTGATCTACGACCGGAGCAGATGGTAATAAGTCTATACAGGCTACAAATATGATATTGTCTTTCAACCATGCTGTTGATATGTGGCTTCTCCAGTCTGTGATAATTCGGTGATGTAACTTATCAACAATGGCAACATGTTTGCAACGAACCAGCTCAAAGATATGGTTTTGGAACCCGAAAAGCTGGGAACATACATCTGAATAGATTGCAGCAGTTCACCAACTGGAATAAATCAGCGACATGGGAATGATTTCCCAATCCTAACCATCATTTCAAGTGATGTCGCGCAGTGAAGTCGTCATAATTTATGGAGATTAATCCATCGGTCAATAGATTGATTCCTTTTGGTTACGTATCCCATTAAATCTCAGTAAATAAAATTGGTGGTTTATACATTCCTACTATATCCCCATGATTCATGGTTGGTCAACCGCACTATATATATATATATATATTGATATTACAAAGGTTCCCATGATATTCCCACTACTGCTGTTTTCATAGCACCATTATTCACATGACCATCCCGTTAAATCATCAGTCAAATTCCCATGGTATCCCCATTGTTGATGTTTGACACCAACAATCCAGTTATAGTATAACTATCACATTTTTTTTTGGATTATAACTATTATTACCTTTTCACATCACTTCACATCTGTAGTCATATCCAGTTATAGATCTATCTGAGGATTCTATAACACGGATTCATGACATCCCCAGTTCTCTCTAGAACTACTGGCTATGATTACTATTCACATCTGTAGTAATATCTAGTTCTGGTAATAACAAACAGTTATCTATTGATTTTTCAGAATATTTATCCAGTAAATTCCAGTTATAGTACCAACTTATAATCTTATGGACATTCATTCATGTGGTTAACACAATCATAAACTACCCATTTGGGAATGGTTTATACCACCTATCTATGGTGATGACTGGGGGATGGTTTATTATTGTTTTACCTACATTAATCAGGTATTAATCACTATTAATCACTACTATCCACTATTAGCCACCATTATAACCACCGTTATAATCGCTATTAGTCACTATTACAGTGATTATTAGTAGTTATAATCACTGTTATAATGATGAACCACTATTAATGAACCACTATTAGTCAATATTAATTAATGGCATTAGTCACTATTATAGTCACAATCTCTGGTGATTTGGGGGATGGTTTACTATTGTTGTACCCACATTAAAACTACTATTTACAATTATGTAAATTATCATATTTCACTACCCTGAATAGTTCGGCCATTTTGGGATGATTCCCCTTACTAAATATGATTTCCAGGGTTCGGTCGCAGTGAGGTCGTTATAATTTACCCTCTGGTAAACTAACATAACTATGGAACATCACCATTTTTAATGGGTAAATCAACTATAAATTGCCATTGTTCAATAGCTATGTTAAATTACCAGAGGGTACCCAGAATTATGGATCCTTGGTTGACATCACCACCAGCTCGCGAAACGCGGCTAAGGTGACTGGAGCTTCTGCGCAGCAACTCCACCGCCCGGCGCCATGCGCCCAGGTTTTCCTAGGCGTCTCACGAGACGCGGGGCTGGGCTGTCGTTGATGGGAAACATGGATGGAAGAACTGGGTGGAACATGGGGAAACAGATGGACATGATATTTATTGAGATGTAGAAACATTCAATGACGAAAATGTTGGGAACATTGATGAACACGGGGATATAAACATCGAGATATAACTGATGAAACAGACTGGGAAGACTGGGATGAACATAGGGGGAAAGTGGGTGTTTTTTCAATGAACGTCCTGCGGATATCACCTGAGGGCAACGATGTCATTCTGGGAAGGCTGATGGCTATGACAACAAACAACTCATCGCAGCAACTATCTTCCGGAACCCCCGAAAAATCGCAAGCATAAATCCAGCCATCCTCCAAAAAAAATGGGAACTATACAGTCATAAATGGATATCTTTATGAGGTTATCATTCCATAGATGGGCTTATAACTTACTTATAACTGGTAAGGGGCCAACAAGTGTATCCTCTGGTAAACTATATAACATAACTATGGAAAATCACCATTGTTTAAAGGGTAAATCCACTATTTCTATGGTAATTTTCAATAACTATGTTAAATTACTGGAGGGTATATTCTATCAATCACCAGTATTAACCAGTATTAACCATAATAAGCCATGATTAAACCATTATTAACCATTATCAATCACCAGTATTAACCATAATGTATAGCTATGTTAGTTTAACCAAAAGATGCCATCTTTGTGGGTCCATTGGTACCCCATTCGCGCCGCACAACCGCCCAAGTTCACAAGCGCCCACCGCACTGCTGCAGGCGATGGTGGTCAGCTCACCACTAAAGGTGCTGCAGAATTGCAAGGCCAATCTCCTGGTGGTGTCTAATCTGTATAATTTAATAGTATATATGTACAGGTATCTAGTATAGATCATGGTAATTCCTATTTATATCTATATGTTATATGTTATATCTGTATACTACAACATACCTAATGGCTAGTTAATATCAAATGTCAATAACATCTACTCTGTTCTAATCTATAGATCTATATACATATCCAACAAACTAGCTGTCTACTATTTACTCTCTTCTAACCTAATCTAACCTTACTTTGTATCTAATCCTTCTAAAAGGACGTATATAAATATCAATAATATTTATATGGTCACATGGTCTATCTGTATGGATGTATATAAATACAAAATTATCGTACATGTAGAACGTATTGAATACATATGAATATGAAAATGAACATGAATTAGAATACACATGTGGATATAGTTATGAATATCGATATGGCTATTACTATGAATATTGGTACGGATACAACTATGTGAATATCGATATGGATATAATTCCGAATATCAATAATATTAATATCTATAATGACATCCAACTATAGTATCCACTATTAATCATATTCCATGTTATTCATAGTTTGATATCGGTATAGTGTCCCATTGACAATGGGATATATGTCGTCTAATATTCATAATCCCAATTATCATATTAACACAACACTGTCCACTATTATTACATTCATTGATTCCAGTATATCCATAGGCCTCCAATTCATAATTCCATATGATATTACATCTCGTTGGTTGACTATATTCAATTATTCATATTTATATATATATATATACAATATATATATAGGATGTACATATTCCACTACAATATAAATTAAACCTCAATATCCTCATTAGTATCAGAATTAATCGATATCAGAATACAATAACAAATAGATACAGTACATATTCCAGATTTGTCCATTAATTAGCAAACACATGGATTAATCATCAATATCCTCATGAATGATATTCCAGATTTTCCCATTAATTATGTATAACTATATCTATTTCCATGAAACCATATATATATATATATCATTGATATATCCATGAATCAAGAAAAATATTTCCCATTAATATATTTGAATATGATTATTTTTTTTAAAACACATTATCATTTATCAATTCTGACAATTGTAAATATAGAGCACCTGAGGTGCTTCTTGCAAAGAAAAGATCTGGTGACACATGCAACTGGTGGGAAGCGGACATGGCATCATATATATATATATATTCATATATATCTGTACATATATATATATATATATTCATATATATATATTAGTATATTGATATAATCTTATATATATAATATCAATTCTCTCAAATGTTCATAGACTTTCCATGAAGCCTCGACAACCTTCGCCGCTTTTTCGGAAGACCCGTCCAGTGGAAGGCGCGCTGCGCACAGGTCACCAGGGCGCTGAGCGCGACGGCGCTGAGGCGCAGCTGCTGCTGAAAGAGGCTGCGCAAATGGTGACAGCTGCCTGGTGGGAAGATAGTTGTTGTTTTTCTTATTATAGATAATATAGATAATATAGATAATGTAATATCATGTAATATCATGTAATATCTACTAAATATCATGTAATATCTACTAAATATCATGTAATATCTACTAATAGATGTATATTACATGATAATATAGATAATGTAATATCATGTAATATCTACTAGTAGTCATAGATCCTTTTTTTCCAACTGCATGTGCGATCACGCAAGGGAAATGGGGAGTTGACGAGAAAATCTTGGTGAATGGGATAGCGTCATAGTCCTCATGAAACCACTTACCCATGACTATGCCTGCATTCTTTATACCATCAACCCATGAACCCGAGAGAATTCGCACCTTCCCAATTGGTGGTGGTTCTATCATCATTTCTGTTGACGATGATGATAACTCGGGTGAACAAACTTTCAATTTTGTGTTGCTTAAAACATGTTATGAACCACTTGAAAACATGAAAATGATAAAAAATAAACATGTCCCATGGAGAAATCCACATGTCTGAGTGTCTAACAAAAGAAATTTCCCATAAAGGATGCCGAGGGCGGACGTGTTTCCCGGAATTTGTCACCAGGAATCATCATCCCAGCTACCCTCTCCCCATTGTAGTGACCATAGTAGTGGATAGGTGATAGGAATTCCCACAATCCATTGTGATAAATCCATGATAATCAACTAATCCCCAATATATGGGATAGCAAAACAGCCGAATTTTTGTTTAATCATCAACCAGCAGTGGTTGCGAACAGCAAGCTCAGTTATATGTTATATTGTTCTGAAGGTTAGTTCATGATTTTCCACTTCTATCACAACCATCATCTTTGGTGTATAGTTACTGCTTCTGACATCTATATATATAATTATATATATATATATCCAATTCACTCATATGTATATAGTGTATATAGGTTTCCTAAAATGGGTGATAACTCCCAATTACTAATGACGACGACCCCTTTCGGGGGAGGGACTTTTACGGGTGGACATGTTCCAGAGCCTTCGGACCAAAGGACACGTGATTTTGATATATTTTTTTTTGAACTGTTAAAAAACATGTGTCCCTGCAACAATGGGGTTATAAGCAAAAAACATGGGATTACAACCAACAAAAAGTGTAGCACAGTGCAATTTTGTTGAGCTTCTATTGTCACCAACACAAGTCCATAAACTTAAAACATATTTTCCTTTAATAATTTGGGGTTTGAGCCAGTGGGCGACTGTATACCATAATTATAGCCTAATGATGCTAATACCATTCTGGTTACTCTTTTGAAACCCCGTTTTGCTCTGTTTTCCCTCTGGGAGACAAGGGCTGGCCCGTTTTGAGGAAAGGGATCAAAATAAACCACTTAGAGCAGCAGCTTAAAAAAACTGATACATTTATGAATATATGATGAACAAATAACCTTAGATTTTTTCACATGTTCATAAAATAATCATAAAATGATGTGCAAGAACCCTTACGGGGGGGTGCCCAAAGTTTTTTTCTTTATTTACAAAAAAAAACGTTTGGGGCACCCATGGGCACCCCTGTTATGGGAGCACTATGGGTTTCCATTTTGGGAGCATTATGGGCTTCCATTTTGGGAACGCTACGCGCTTCCATTTTGGGACCGCTACCCGCTTCCATTTTGGGACCGCTACGCGCTTCCATTTTGGGAGCACTACGCGCTACCATAATGGTCATGTGGATTTCAAATTATAGCCACGTCTATCCGTTTTCGAAGAGAATCAACAGCCTCCTATATGTGGCCTGTGAGCCTACAGGTCAGAGTTCCTTCGGATGTAATTGGCTCTCTGTATAAAATGGGTTTGCGTAAAAGTTAGTGTGGGTAAAACCATGGTAAGAGCTGGTTGGTGCAAGAGATGTTTGCTATAAAAGCTGGTCAGGGGGAAAGCTGGATGATGTGAAAGCTGCCATAGTTAGTGTAGAAAGGTGGTTGGTCAGAAGACTGATGTGTGTGAAAACTAGCTGGTGGAGTGGGTTGCTCGAAGCTGTTTGATGCGCAAATATGTGCAACCTCGTTGGTGTAAACATGCTGTAGTTGTTGAAGAACAAAATTGTCTGAACAAAAAGCAAGTTAGAGGAGCACACAGTTAGCGCGTAACAACAGCATGTAGAAAACATCAGAACATTCCATATTCTACGGGAGAGAAGAAGAGAGGGAGGAGACAAAGAGTCACGGCACTGACAACATACGAAATTTGGAGGGGATTTGTTTCGAGCCACACAAGCATCTGCAAATGGGGACACCTAGTCAAACGCCACACAGCCTTGAACATCCACAGGATTTGTCGGCAAATTGATGGCATGAATGTTAAAACGATAAAGGCAACCATCGAAACTAGGAATCCCAAAAAGATCACTGAAGAACCTATGGAATAGCTTAACCAAAAATACAAAAGGGCTTGAGATGGTTAGAACATGCTTGGCTGCCTCAACAGGCTACTCCACTATATTTGTAGCCATTGGTTTGGTCTGATTGCGAGGATAGGGACAACAATGAAAATGCGAAATCCAAGATCAGGGCGAGCTGCACTGGAAATGTAACACCCTCACAAAAGCGTATCAAAATCACAACAAGATGGCTAAAACACTCCCTCACAACCTAGTTGCGACGACATCTATTTGCAAGAATCACACGGCAGTACAAAAAATGAAACCGCCCAACCCAACCTCTACACAAATGGTTGGTGCATGATTGTTTGCCTGCTGAGACCCCTGGTGCCCCATTGTGGGCAACACATGAAACGTGGATAGCTTCGATAGATGATCGTCCCAGAATTCATGTATATACCATTACATACCTACAAAAAATTGAACCTGAATGCCGTTTTGTAGGCCTGCTTCGCCATTTGGGGGATCATCAAAGTTTTCTTGGTGAAAAATACCGGTATAGACATGTTTGGTTTTGACGAGCGCTTGACTTGTTTGGTCCTGGACCCATATCCTGGATTTTCAGGCCGTTTTGCAAATTTGTTTTTCAGTTTTGAAGATTGCTTTGAAGCTGCCATTTGCAAAAAGTATACAAAATAAAACATCTCTGGAACGGGGACAAGAAGGGAACACGCATCCATATGGATATCATGAGCACCCAAGCTTGAATATTGCTTTGGGTTTGGGGATGAAGTTTATGAGGCTTGCCTGTGCCCAGGAGAGAAGTTAAAAATACCGAGTGTTTGTCACAGTCAATGTGCTAAAACGGATGCCGAAGTGCGATTTACGGTAGGTTTCGTAACTTCCAATTTGACCCGAATAACAAATAACAGGTTTTGATAAGCAAGTATATTAGTTACTAGTAGGCAGGTATAAGTAAGCAAATGTCCTCTGCCATTTGCTAATGAAGTACAGTACAGTTGGTTATCAAAGTCGCATTGGCATGTATTGAAATGCCTCCGGATTTGGGCTACCTTTTTCTCCTTGCCCCTTTCCCCCTCCCTAGGCATGTTGTGCCATCTTAAGCCAAACAGCCCTTCAGTAGTTGCAATGTTGCTGTGCGGGTGGGCACATCGTTGGGTGGATGCTGTCGCGGATTTTTTCCCATAAATCAAAATTTGACCACAGTGATGGCCCTTTACCAGTTTATAAGTCAGTTGTAACCCCATTTATGGAATTATAACCCCATTTATGACCATTATTAATCATTTAATATCATTTAACTGGTAAATGGACCATGCAGGAATTACTTAATGGCCAATGAGTCAAAAAAAATCGTCTAAGAATCCATGAGGTTTTTTGTCTGTGAATCCAAGAGGTTCGTCAATAGCCCGAAGAGTTCCTCAATGTCCCGAAGAGTTTGTCAATGTTCGTCTATTTTCCCAAAAGTTCGTCAATATTTTTTCAAGTTCGTCACTTCGTCAATATTTTCTTACTACGTTCGTCAATTTTCCTAAAAGTTCGTCAATTTTTTTTGCGTTCGTCAATTTTCCCAAAAGTTCGTTAATATTTCTTCAAGTTCGTCAATTTTTCCAAAAGTTCGTCAATTTTCCCAAAAGTTCGTCAATTTTCCCAAAAGTTCGTCAATTTTCTCAAAAGTTCGTCAATTTCGCAAAAGTTCGTCAATTTCCCCAAAAGTTCGTCAATATTTTTTCAAGTTCGTCTATTTTCCCAAAAGTTCGTCAATTTGCCAAAAGTTCGTCAATTTGCCAAAAGTTCGTCAATTTTCCCAAGAGTTCGTCAATTTTCCCAAAAGTTCGTCAATTTTCCCAAGAGTTCGTCAATGTTCGTCAATTTCCCAAAAAGTTCGTCAATATTGACGAACTTTTCCCTGGGTTTTTTGCATTTATTGACGAACTTATTGGTGAAATTGACGAACATTGACGAACTTACAAATTATTGACGAACTTTTGGGAAAATTGACGAACTTTTGGGAAAATTGACGAACTTTTGGGGAAATTGACGAACTTCTGCGAAATTGACGAACTTTTGAGAAAATTGACGAACTCTTGGGAAAATTGACGAACTTTTGGGAAAATTGACGAACTTTTGGGAAAATTGACGAACTTTTGAGAAAATTGACGAACTTGAAAACATATTGACGAACTTTTGGGAAAATTGACGAACTTTTGAGAAAATTGACGAACTTGAAAAAATATTGACGAACTTTGGGAAAATTAACGAACATAAAAACATATTGACGAACTTTTGCGAAAATTGACGAACTTGAAAAAATATTGACGTACTTTTGTGAACATTGACAAACATGAAAAAGTGGACATTTTTTGGAAAATTGATGAACTTTAAAAAAAAAAATGACAATTATTAACTAACTTTTCGGAAAACTGACGAACTTTGTTGGAAATTGACGAACATTGACGAACTTTTTGCGATGAAACTGTCGATTCATTCATTGACGATCCTTGTGAGTTCAAAGACACGCCCGCGGAGTCGTTGAATTGGCAAAGGTTAACTTGTGAGATCTGTTCAGACTGGGTAGTTGATTGTTGTGACCATGTACCTGCATGATGATTGTTTTTAGCTTCTCCCATGTCTCCTCTGCGCTTTCTTGACGGTTTAAACACTACTGACAAATTACATGCGAAGTTTGGTCTACATGTACTGGATATAGGGTCTACCCACATTACGTGGGAGGATCTAGTTTAGTGGAATTCGCTTCAAAGTTTCAGCTCACTGCATCGAAACAGAGAGAGAGAGAGAGAAATAAATAAATTTAAGACATACGTAAACCATCAAAAACTTATAGACAAACCAACGAACTAATAGATCAGTGTTACGTTGCGATATCAATGCAGTATGGCAAATAATCCAAGACATGTGGTAATTGTTGGAAGCTTGTGGTTTCCGTGAGAATTTTGGGGACCAAAAATCCGCAAAATGCATTGTGCGTACCTTTACACCATGCAAACCCAATGAACAGTGACACTTGTGGGAACATGGCACCCAAAAATAAGGTGCACCAGAGGCATTTTGTGTACGTTTTGCCATGCCAATATGTGTGCAAACCCAATGAAAATCTTATTTAAATTTTCAGGAAATCACAAATAAGAACCATATTCATTTTTCGCAAGGTGGGGGAATGCAAAAACATTTCAGATCACCTGAAGAAAGTGGCAGCCCAGTAGCCAACTTTCTTCCGGGCATCTCCCAGGGGAGGCTCAAGGAATTGAAGGAGTAGACATGAATAATCCCAAATTGGTTTTTACAGCGTTTTTTTTATTGTTGTTTCTTTCCAGACATCCACAAACTGAACTCAAACCTTATACAAGTTTTGGCTGAGCATCAATGCTTATCGGATGACATCTCCCAAGTAAACTCCAAGTGTATGCCTATAATTCCGGATTCGCTGAAGCAAGAGAACCGTACTTGGCGTTCCTTAGTGTTTTTGCTTAGTGAGACATCAGTTTAACAATGGCCAAAATAATCCTCTTCTGTGCGCGTAGGGTTCCACGCAGGCATGAACGAGGTTCTTTACTTGTAGGAATGGTCACATAAGCAATCACAGCAGTACTAGCGTTCGCGTAAATCGCTTCCCAGACATGGGTAATGCTCGCTTCGACAGGTTTCAAAACCCCTTCCAACTTGTATTTCTATTGATAAATAACATGACATTGGCAGTTTGTAAATGCGTTTTTAGAAATGCTGGCTGACTTTCCGCGACAATTTAGTTTTTTCCCTGAAAACTGTTGCTTACGTAAGCAAGAAAGTCAGATCATCATCACCCCCATAAAAAATTCACTAGATAAGCAGATTCAGGGTCACCGACTATCGAGATCATGCATTGATGAACTTCAAATCACCGAAAACTATTCAGAGCGTATATATAGGTTGCGAAATGCTCAGGAGTTGCAGAGCAAACCTGATCGTCCGTTTGCAAGTTTACTCCACAAGGGTAATTGTTTTCAAAACATCGAGGTCCATTGACAAACTTTTGGTGACGAACTTGCATGCCCTGTCAAAAATGTGACAGCAACATGATACTTATGAATGTTCAAAGCAAGAAGTACGCGACGCAGGCTCCAGCATGAACAAGCATAGATTGTTTGCTTCTGCCTGGGAACTACAATTTGTTACCTGTCCAAACCAATAATTTTCTTATGAATCAGTTGTTACTCGAGAAACGGAGGTGTTGGGGCAAAAAGTGAATAGAACGTAGGCATTCAAAAAAAGACGCTGTTGGCAAAGGATTAGCGTTTTTTTTTCGGGATCAATATGATGTATAGTAGAATGTGCAGCAACAGATGTAAGGGCAACCAAATGCACACTACCAACATGACCACACATGTGCCTATCTACAAAGTGCGTGCCTGTGTACATGATTCTGACCATATGATAAGTGCCTGTAGAACCAATTCACTCCATTTGTATATAATTATTGTGTTTGGTACTCTCACACAGAAAAAACACATACACAACTACACAGACACCCAGGTTATACCTATCACCCACCGAGTTAATGCAAAATTGCGACTTCTCATATGCACCAAGCCTATGGTCCAGGTTGATCCAATCGGATTTTACGTTGTGTTTTTTTGTTTTTTTGCAGGGCATCTTGCCTCCCAAAAAAGGAGAACTGATCCGATTTGTACTGTATTTGAACTGAAACATTTTTTGGTACCATTTAGAAGAAGACGCTTTCTTCAAAGGCCATGTAAAATACTATTGGATAAACTATGGTCAATCTAGGCCCTTGCAATCTCATATTATCACTTTGGAAGGGAACTGTACTGCTACTGCTGCTACTGCTACTGCTGCTACTGCTACTGCTACTATTGCTAACACTGCCAATACTCTTCGTCAGCAATCAAGGCACCAAAAAAATCCAACTTGTTAGGCTTATCTAGTTCTATATTTTTCACAAAAAAAATACCCAGATCAACCAATTTTGAAAGCATACTCAAACGATAATTATGCATGTTTTCTCTATCCAGCTTTAACGACTACAACTATATACATATTTTCATGCAACAGCATTTTTCAACTGATTTGCTCACTTGCTCTCCTGGTTGCTGTTCAAGTATGTTTGCCTGCTTGTCTCTGTTACGGTCCTTTCCCAATACATGACTAAATTGCGAGTCCCAATTTTCAGTTGACACAAACACAAACGCGAAATTGAAAACTGACAAAATCTAATACATATATACGTATATATATATATGTGTGTTTTATTTGTAGCATACATATGTATATATGTATGTATATATATGTTTCACAAGCGATGTAGGAATCGCTAGCCAATGTCACGACTGGTAAGCCCTATCCAGTTCGTCTCAAATCACTTGAAATCAATGGCATTCTTTTTGTTTTCCTAGATGTTCAAGAATGAATCCTAGAAACACCAAAATCAACACCAACTTAGATTTGTACCATCAACCCCTTCCCCCGAAAGGGGTCGTTGTCATTAGTACTCCCAATCATCAAAAATAAGAAAAATGGATGGTCGGATTCTCCAATAAACCATCCATACTTTCACGGCCAAGCTTCGCTGCCAGGTAGATGCTGTAGCCAAGACGGAGCCGTAGCTGAAGATGTCGGGCAGGTAGCCCTGCCTCACGTGGGCAGAAGCCGTGGGGAAAAGTCGGGGATTTAATGGGGTTTAACATGGTTTAACAATATAACTTTGAAAAATAACGAGATTTGACCCTGACAATTACGGATATCAGGGATTGAACGATGAAAATTAAGGATTTCACAATGAGATTTAACATGATTTAAACATCAAAATTGGGGAGTTGAGCATCAAAATGTTGGAAGAATACTCCCTATGGAACCAAATACCTTCTTTTTGGGAGTGTTTGGTGTATATTTTTGGTGACCAAGTAATAATAGGGAATAATTCAACAAGGAAAAACGGGGAATTCACATGAATTTACACATGAACAAAGCAGCAGTTGCGTCTCAAAAAATTGGGTGTGGATCAAGCACCTGGTACCTGTCAAAAGACAGGGCCAACGACAGGGATCAATCAACTAAATCTGGGATTCTATCAACACAACATGGGGAGATGATCAACAGATATGGGGTTTATGTGTGATAGTTTATGATCGTTGACTTATACATCAAGTTGCATCCCCAAATTCTGGTGATAAAATACAGTTATATATGACAGTTAATATGTATATAATATATACCATCTGGTAATTTAACATAGCTATTGAAAATGGCCATTTGTAGTGAGTTTTCCCATTAAAAATGGTGATTTGCAATAGTTCTGTTAGTTTACCAGAGGGTATATTGATTGAGCTATGGTTGTCTCACCAAACCAAAGTGGTTTCACCCACCCCCCCCATCCAGGAGATCAACAGCACCTTGGTAGGACATCCAAAGCATTCAACACCTTCGGCCACAACCGGGGAGATTTCTGCCAAGCACCTGGGAGATTTCGACATGGGAAAACAGGAGGGTTCCTAAGTCATCTGGGTACCCCAAATCATCCAAGTCAGCGAAGTTTTGCAGGGAAAGCATGTTTGAAAAAGGTGTTCTATGGTTTTCTTTTCGATGCAGTAGTTTTGAAAGAGACTAACAACTAGTTGTCTTTTGGGATATGTGTCCCTAATACAAGAAGGAATAATCCACCCACAAAAAAGCGTAGACCCTCGGGTAATCAAACATAGCAATTGAAAATACCCATCAAAAAAAGTAAGCTTAGTTTTCAGATTCAAGGACAATCAATTATAACTATAACTATAAATTTATAAAATGGTGGATTTTCCAGCAAGCCACAGAGCTGATGACGAGGCAAATCATCTCCAATCACCAATCCCATTGAACCTCAACTCCAAGAAATCCCTATAAAATCCAATTTTAATCCCCATTAATTCCACATTAAACCCATTAATCCCCATCATTTTGACCCATCCACTAGGTGTACAACATGAAAACCACGGCGAGGGACCCAACAGCAAATTCTGCGACAGCAGTTCCGGCTCCAACGCAGCCGTGGACAAACCTCAGATGCGACGGTGATCGATTTTTTCCATGCTGATTTCATAACCCCAAAGCACAATCAAGAAGGTCTTAGTGCAAATGATCACTATACTCAACCTGGACTTAAATACTGTATCTGGTTGGTGGTTTCAACCCTAGCCCTCTGAAAAATGATGGAGTGAAAGTCAGTTGGGGGTATGAATGGTTATGACATTCCCAACTGAATGGAAACATGAAAGCCATGTTCCAAACCACCAACCAGGTATTTTGAGGAAACCATAAGACCGCGACACCAACTGCGTTGCACCAAGGCACATCTCAGCAACTTGCTGGCGTCATTCCAGTGCTGCCCACGACAGAACTGGCCTGGGACATGACCGAACCCTGGTGGCTGACCTCATCAAAGATGGGTAGGATTGAGGGATTTTCATCCCCGATTCGATCGTGACCAAACTAGATGTTGAATGGGAAGGCCCAACTCGAGTTGTTGGCTGTAAACTTGAAGTGGGTTTGTCCAGAAGTTAGCTCTACCCGAATTTGTTGCATCTTAAAGGAAAGATGATGAAAACAATGGAATTTGGGGCTAATTACTAATTACCCTATTTGCAAACACTGGGAGCAAACCCCTGATGCCAACAACTGGGTTTAATCACCTGTGTTCACAGTCACCATACTTTGAATCCTACCTGAGTAGCTCCTATTTCAAGCGGCCCATATATCTTCTGGTTGGGAAACTCTTAATATTCGTAGCTCCGGCTCCCCATGTCCCAGTCAAGAACCCACAAAAAAACATAGCTCAGCTCACCACTGCCTCCATTGGTCCATGCTTAAATCAACTTTCCATATTTTGATTGTGAAATCTGGTTTTCCGTACAGTTTTCCATGTGTTTTTTCCATGGTTCCATGGTTTTTCCCACCTGAAATGGTCACCAAGGCACCAAAGGCTTTGTACAGCCCTGCACTCCAGGCCCGCGGAACAGCAGGCTCTGGCAACTTGGACAGCTCCTGGCGGTCTGGATGTGAGTATTCCAACATGTTTGATGGATGTGATCATTCATATTTCATATTCAGGTTCGTGTTACAGATTACCCTCTGGTAAACTAACATAGCTATTGAAAATGGCCATTTATAGTGAGTTTTCCCATTAAACATGGTGATTTTCCATAGTTTTTGTATGTTTACCAGAGGGTATCCGAAAAAGACCTGCGAACATGAATAGATATGAATAGTCTCGCCAGCAACTTCGATCAAGGTTTTTTCGGGATTCGCAACATCCCAAAGAGATATCATCAGCTGAATGACATCATATGACCCTGCGGTCTGATGTTGGAATTCATGGGTGCATCCCTGCCATGAGTTGCGAGAAAAAACCAGTTCCATAATCTGGATCATCAAAAACTTAAGGTATCCCACTGTTCAGGAAAGTTATGTTTTTTGTAAAGTTAGAGGATCATCTGTTCATCATCCCTCAATCCCTCAAGACCAACGATCAAAGAATCCACGGCAAAACCTCACCAATGTCGTTCTGGATATTGGATGGGCCAGTTACCCTCTGGGAACCTAACAGAGCTATTATTTTCATGGCCATTGATATGTTGATTTACCCATGAAAAATGGTGATGGTCCATAGTTTTTTGTATGTTTACCAACGGGTAAGCATACCCTTCAGAATGTACATTCGCTCTTCATATCAGTGGACCCGATTTGCAAACGCCTCCTGCAAGACTTCTTGCAGGTCTTGGAAACGACCCCTTTCCGCTAAGGCCTGGCCGCTGCTTTTTATCGTTTCTGACTTGGCAGTACTTGCAACATCCGGTTGTTATGCCTTAGTTTTTGGTTGAACGATCACTTGCAATATAATTTAAAACCAACTAATATGATATATATAATATAATATGATGACATGTGGATTTGAGATTTTTGAGTCGTTTATCCGTGCCACGTCTTGGCTCTCACATATCAACCCATACGAGAATATCCCTCCAACCATTCAGCCTGGCAGCACTGCTGCTGATATGACAGCATTTTGTTGTGTGCTGGCATACTTATTCATTGCATTCCTCTTCTTGTCTGTCAAATCATTCTCTTTGATGGCTACCTCACAATTTCTTTAATTAACATATTATATACTGGTTGGTGGTTTCAACCCCTCTGAAAATTATGAAAGTCAGTTGAAGTTAATATTCCCAATACATGGAAAAATCGAAACAGGTTCCAAACCATCAACCAGATATACATGAGAACAAAGGTTTTTAATGATTGAATCACCATGTCTGATTCCAACATCAGCACGTTGGATCGTGAAACCACCATTGCCCTGCCATGGACAAGGCCGCCAAGGCCTGCAGGATGAATTTCATGGCACCGGACATGTCGGTCACCTGCGAACTAAAAGGAACACATCTGGGGTGAAGTGGGGTGAAGATGATACTGTGATGTATGGTATACTACTGATATGATAATTGTTGATTTGGTAACTCAATAACAACTATATTCAATGTGATATTACTGTAAGCATGATACTGCACAATAATAAAATGTTGACAACACTATTAAGATTATTGCAATACCAACTATCCATTAGCAACATGATACTGCAATGTGGATCTTATTGAGCATGTATGGTCAAGCAATGGGTACAACAATTAATGAGAATGTAACAACAACTATTCAAGATGGTATACTAACTAATCATGAAAGAAAATGATGGCTGGATCATCAATCTATTGGCGAAACTGATCTTGGTGTCCAATATTGGCTATGCTTTATTTATACACATTAATTATCGACTTAAAATCGATCCTGTTCCCTCAACAAAAACTGCTTGGTGGCGTCAACCCCCTTGAAACAGAAGGTTGACAGTACTTATCATTGTGGGGATCATCATCTCAAAAGTCAAAGAAGAGGAATAATAAACACTACTTAAACCACCAAGCAATAATTGAATAGACCCTGTGGGCCTGTCTGAAAATAAGGCGACCCCCCGGAATCCACTGGTTGTTCATCATCTTCCCATAGAAACAAATGCAATGGATTGGTACATCCACCAAGGCAACTGAGGGATGACCTGACAAAGATCAGCAGCATCTCCATCTGGCTGGTCGTTTTGTTCCATCTCAAAAATCGTCAATTTGGATCATCATCCCATTCCTAGGGTGGAACATAAGAATGTATGAAGCCACCAACCAGTTTTATCGCTTCATATCCTGTTACAGCCCCATACGTATTGATGATTTCTCCGTACAAATTGCTGATAAACTACCAAATTGTCCAACCAAAACCTTCCTCATCAGAGATTTTGTCCAACCAAAACCAACCAAAGAAGCCAACATCACTTGGCACCTCCCGCATACGCAAGGCATGTTGCCAGCTGGTTGCCCCAGCCATGGAAGGTTCCGTGGAACGCGCCACCAGGGCTTGGAAGAAGGCGAAGGACCTGGGTGCAGATAGTCCAATAAAGGCCACACAATATATAGGATATATTAGGATATATGGATTATATTTGATTGAATTATTGGTATATATTGGTATACTTATAGTTATATGTTGATTAAAACTGATATTACTATTATAGTATTCTGGGTGTACTAATAACAACATTGCATCTACTGATATCCTTCCCATAATTCTAATTACTGTATATACCAGAGGGTCCATATTGAGTAATTAACTATATTGGAGTTATTTATAAGGGTGATATTGAACACCCACGATTTGTGCAAACCCATCCAGGTCGGCTCATCAGGGACATCCGCCATACAGCCACGTGCGTAACATCCGCCAGCATCCGCCATGTGATTTGTGCTGAAGGAGGCTATGATTTGAGGCTAAGTCTCCAAGAGCTTCCAGCCACGCAGGACTGTCCGGCACAGCAGAAAGCCACGCCATCCATTCAGGTTTAAAGCCAATATTTTGATGCTTAATTAAATTTCATACATTTGTTGTATAGTCCCACCACATTGAATATATCAACTCTGACAAAGTGCCGTATATTTGATATTGTTCACACTGTCATATTCCTCATGAATATGTGTTATAATGTGGAAACCCCATGCCGGCCGCAAACCTACCATTTGGGGATGGTTTTAATCGCACCTATAAACATGGTGATGACTTTGGGGGTGGTTTATGACATTGGGATTACCACATTGATGGCGATTTAAAGATGCTTAAAGGTAACATAACTATATATATATATACATATAAATGCTGCTATACTATATACATCTATATACAAAAACAATGTCACCAATGGATTCTCAATGGATCTTATCATATCTTATCACCTTATTCCCACCTTGTTACGTGTTGGTTCCTACGCCAAGCATCTGCTGCCACTCCGCGGAATCCTCATGTGCCACGTGCGCCACGTGCGCCACATCCAGCTGAAGCAACTGCTGCCAAGGGCCTGAAGTGTTCATCTGATCTTCGTAAATCAATGGTGTAAAACATGAGGATGGTGTTTTAATGGTGTTTAATAGTGTTTTAATGGTGTTTAATGGTGTTTTAATGGTGTTTAATGGTGATTTAATGGTGTTTAATGGTGATTTAATGGTGTTTAATGGTGATTTAATGGTGTTTAATGGTGATTTAATGGTGTTTAATGGTGATTTAATGGTTTTTAATGGTGATTTAATGGTGTTTAATGGTGATTTAATGGTGTTTAATGGTGATTTAATGGTGTTTAATGGTGATTTAATTGTGTTTAATGGTGATTTAATGGTGTTTAATGGTGATTTAATGGTGTTTAATGGTGATTTAATGGTGTTTAATGGTGATTTAATGGTGTTTAATGGTGATTTAATGGTGTTTAATGGTGATTTAATGGTGTTTAATGGTGATTTAATGGTGTTTAATGGTGATTTAATGGTGTTTAATGGTGATTTAATGGTGATTTAATGGTGTTTAATGGTGATTTAATGGTGGTTTAATGGTGTTTAATTGGGATGAAACCGATAATGTTGAGCCTCTCTAACAATAAACAGAGCTATGGTATAGATGGCCCATTTTGGCACATAAGAAGAGATGATAAACATGATGATTTACCATAATGGGAATTTAATGGAGATTTAATGATGTTTAATGATGTTTAATTAATGGTGATTAAATGATGTTTAATGATGTTTAATAGTGTTTACTGGTGTGTCATTGGGATTGAAATTAAATTGTGCATTTGGGTTAACAATATCCAACATAGCTATGGTATGGCCCATAGGAAGAGATGATAAACATGATGATTATGATTTACCTATCAAAAATCGTGATTTTCCATAGTTACGTTAAATAGCCAGAGGGTCCTTTCCCATCACTTTAGGGATGACCGTAGATTGAAATAAGCTAGAGTCTTAACAATGAAATGATTTACACATGTATAGCTATGGAAAATCACCATTTATAGTGAGTTTTTCCATGGGAAGTGGTGATTTTGCATTGTTAATGGTTCAATGCCCTTGCTGTTGAGGGGTTGATGGCGAACCCAGAATTCTACCAGAGAGTCTTGGTGGATTCATGTTGTGCTCCTTGTTGGTCGCTTCAAACGACAGGCCCGACCCTGAAGACACATGATATCAATGATATCCTGAAAACAACTAAGGATATGAACCCATCATTCAGGGATGACTACGCACAGTGTATGTATATATATATATATTATATATTGTATATATATATATATATTGTGTGTATATATATATACTGTGTATATATATATATACGTACGAGTACCCTGGTATAAGAGAGCTTTGCTTCACCGGACTTCACCAACAAATCATCATGAGAACACCTGTGACCCAAAAAACATCAAAGGCAGTAGCACCTCCTGCAAGACGCTCGCCCAGGGTTCGGATGGAATACCTCAAGTCACAGAGGTATTCCGGTCGGAGCCGGATCGTCAACGGATCAGTTGAAGTTGAAATATCCATTGGTTCAATGGATGGCTCTTTCATGTGTTTTTCCCATCAAATTACGTGGCGGTTCGTGTAAAATATGCCAATTCTGGGCGACGGACCAACTGGACCTCTGAGTTCTTGTAAAATCACTCTGAGGAAATACGTTCACAAACAATTTTTTGGATGTCACTGCTTTTCGGACAGATCCAATAGTTGAGGCACCCCCAATAGTTGAGCCACCCGATAATTAGCTAAATTGGCTTGTAACTCTTAACTCCAATAGCTAGGGTTTATGGCAATTATAATGAAAGTTCATGGTATCTATGAACCAACTTGTAACTGGGGCGGGGGCCCACCTTGTATGCAAAGTTGGATGTTGGTTTTAGTTTTGGATATATTATAAAGAAAAGCAGCTAACACTACGAGTCCAAGAGCACAAAGAATGTAGGGTTTTACACAAAAATAAAAACAAACAAAGTAAACCAGAGCAAAAATAAAAACAGAGGAACATACAGGTTTTGTATTTTTTTTGTTGTTTTTTGTTTCTTTTTGTTTCTCTTGATTCTTCCAATCAGTTTGTTTTTTTGGTGGATGTGTTTTTGATCTTGTATTTTCAGTTTTTTGCTAAAATCAACTTTCTCTGTTCCCGTTGGCCTCATTAAGCTAACAATTGGCAAGGAGTCCTATGATATTATGACTATGTCTCCAAAACCAAGCAGGTTCTGGCTCAAGATATCTCATCAAAGCATAGAAACACCATTATATTATATCTATTTCTTCAACATGTTTCAACCCATGCCAAAACTGTGAACAATTCCGATTTAAGGTCAGAAAATCAGAATGAGACCACCAACCATGGACCAGCCACCAGCTTTTTGGGTTGGCGTGTCATTGTTGCTGGACGATCAAAATCCAATGAGTTTGAAGCTTAGATCCTCAGTTCTGTTGCTGAAATTCATGTCTGATCAACTCCAGCATTTTCCATGGGATCTGGAGAATGTTTAATAATTCAACTGGTTGGTGGTATACCTACCCCTCTGAAAAATATGACTTCGTCAGTTGGGATGATGACATACCAATGGAAAGTCATAAAATTCAGGTTCCAAACCACCAATCAGAATATATATAGAAATAATGACCATAATTTATAGTGAGTTTTCCATTGAAAATGGTGGATCTTTCCATAGATTTTTGTATATTTACCAGGCCTTAACTTGATCATTTTGGGGATCAAAAAACCCCTAACCCATGAGATCCACCGACCGACCCAGCCGAGTCGCGATTTCCCCACGGCCGTGGAGAGTGCAACGGCCCATTCACCCGCATTGGAGGCCTAGGTGAAGCCAGTGCCAACAAAGCTACCACTAGTGGGGATGGTGGTTGCAACCCATATATATATACATACCCTCTGATTATGACTAACAGTTTGCCATGGTATAAATGGCCCGTAGAAATAAATGGTTTACCTAGCTACAAAATGGTGGATCTTTCCATGGCTATGTTAAATAACCATATGGTATATATATATATATATACATACTGTACATGAATATATTATAATATCTTGATATACTGTATATATATGCGGTAAAATTAGGGATGGATTGTGGCATTCAGTTTGCCACATTGCGTGTTTATTGGATGGTATAGACTGAAGGCGAGGTTGTAGGTTGCTATCCCTTGGTCAATGCAACAAAATGGTGCATTTAAAGCTTGTCCTTCATCTATATCCTAACCTTCTAAATGATTTCTAGAACCCCCTACCATTGATCAACTATCATCACAATCATCATCTCAACAGTAATACTATCCGCTACTACTAGTTTACGGCATTTTGGATATGTGAAATCCAACAATAAACCAACCCCCCAAAATGAATGGTTATTAAGATGTTTGACTTGGTTTTACACTTTACCAGACATTCCGCCTGCCCACGCCACACCCTGGCCTTGCTCAAACACACCAGCTCCACTTCGCTTGCCAGATCCCGCCTGCACGGGCAAACTCGAGTTACCATTGCCAATCTTAGGTACCCTGGCATATTCAAGGCGTTTCTTTCGTGGCATACAATCTTGCTCCATAATTGCAATTACACAAGTAACTATTGAAAGGCAACCATACATCCATCACTACAACAGGTAATGGGCTTGGTTGAATTGTCATGACTAGGGGGAAACCATTGATTTACATTGGATTTACCATTCAAATAATTCCACTTTTCGGCTACTGTGTTTGCCTTACAACCAGCCTTACAACCAATTCTAGAAGTTAGCACACATTGGCTTTCATTATTCACCAACATGGTTTGCTGGACAATTCCAATCTAAATTTACTTCGGGAATTTCCCCGCTCGCCATGTTTGATGACACCGGTACGGCTACTTTTTTGATGCAGTTCCACCATGTGATATACAACCATAGTTGTAAGGTTATATCACAACTTCTTGCTTATGGCTTTGAATAATATGATATGGTTATAGAGTTAACAAATAAAAAAACCCACAATGGTTAATCCCCATTATATATGTATATATGTCTATAATATATCATTCCATTCAATCCAATTGCTGACCATTTTGATCATTTCTGATTATAACATCCACAATCAGCAGTCACCCCTACAACTGTTATACAGTAACCCCAACTAAGTCACTAAAAGCAATCCCTATCCCATCTCATTATACTACGAGTAGATGGTTGATAGGTATGGGTTACAATTATCCCCAATAACCAGGTAGTATAGCTCCTTACAGAAACCAATCAACAAGGGTACCATTTATTTAGCCCCTACAATCGAGCATTGTCCATTTCGAATTGTGATAGTCCATGCCTTCAATATATTGGATAGTATAACCCCATAGAAAAATCAACCAACAGGGGTTTTGAGCACTGCTAAATTGTTGGTTATCCGTACCCCAAGTGTTATCCCAAGCCCAAGGCCATCATCCTATCCGGTCCTATCCTCATCATCACGGCTGCGCATCTCTGCCATGCATCGCTGGTGATGGGGCGAAGGCAGCAGCTTTGTACCACCTGCGGGGCGCTTCAGCCGGATTGAACGAGGCAATTTTTGGGGACGTTTGCCATGGTGAAACATGGTGAAACATGGTGAAACATGATCCTGAAATAGGGATTTCTGAAATGCCATCGAAAATGGGGTTCCCCCAATGACCCTAAATGAATAGATCCAGTACCAGGCTTGATCGGCAGCTATTTATTGAATATTGGGGGGATGGGGCTATTTCCATTCGCAGCACATCATCTTCCAATGTCATATTTGCAGGGCGCCAGGCGCCCATGTTAGATTTCATGCAACAAATCCAAGGCAGACAGCCCAAAACATGAACCGGCTGATTCTGGTGCTCCGTCCAACAGATCTATGGGTGTGTCTGAAAATCGGGATACGCATGAATTTGTAGCTTGCATGGGGAAACTAAATTACGATAAACCTGATTTAGGGGTGCCCCATTTTCGGTCAAACCCATCTCCCAATGTTAATCAATCTCATGCATTTTACATTCCCATTATGTTTGTCAAAGCTCCGCTTCCGCTGGATGTTTGGAAAACGAATCATTGTAACTGTTTCCTGTTTCCAGTTTTTGTATGGCCACTTAGCATTACTTAGCCAGTTCTTCATATGGCTACCCCCAAAAAAAAATACGATCCCTACCATTTTGGAACACAACTGGGTGTTTTCACGAGGGTTTGGAAGATGATTCTGGAGATATGGTTGTTGAGGTATCCATCGGGGTATGGCTTGGGGCTTCCCTGATTTAGAACAACATATCAAGTATATCCCCAAAAATAAGATCCACATGAAGTATATCCCAGAAAAACACATCCATGTGGGATAACCCATAAAACTATTCCGATAGGGACTCCTCAAATGGATTGTACTATTCCCCAATATGTTACTTATTAATCCCCGAACTAGTCATCAACAATCCATTTCCCATGGTCTTTATATATGGAGGTTTCCATAAATAGGGGGTTCCCCTCAATCATCCGTTTTAATGGTATGTTCCAGTATAAACCATCCATTTTGGGGATCCCCCATTTGTGGAAACCCCCATATATTCAAATATGGAGGTTTCCGAAGCCATGGGGGCACCCAGTCATCCGAGTCAGAAACGACCATACTTGGTAACCCATGGCTGGCGACTGGGGAACCCCCATGACTGAAGAAACCGCCTATGTAGGGGTGTAAATATTACTGGTTGGTGGTTTCAATCCCTCTGAAGAATATGAAGAGTCAGTTGGGAAGGATTATCCCATATATTATGGAAAAAAACAAACATGTTCCAAACCACCAATCAGATTAGTGTTCATGCCTTTTTCTCATTGTTTCTGACCCCAGCAACTGCACCTCATCGGCCAAGCGCTGTGCATTGGCATCTGCCAAAAGCTGCACACTGAGCCTCAGCTGATCCGTTGAGTTGTCAGTGCTTCGTGGAGGTTAAAGGCTGCCCCACGGGTTAATTGTGATTTTATGGTATTGAACAGGGGTTCAATCTAGTTTAATGGTGATATTAGACGGATTTATGGGATTTCATACGGATTTCAAAAGGATTAATTGTGTTTTGATGGTATTTAATGGGGATTTAGTGGTGATTCAATTTCACGAAAGTTTATGGTGATTTGAGACGCGTGGTAGCGCATTAAAACATACAAAACATGTATGTTGGACCCACATTGTTTATGCTATAACCTTTTGCTAATGGTGAACATTAGAAATACGCGCCTTTGATTGAAATATGGTTGACATATGGTGTATGTCGGTGGTTTGCATTCCATAGAAAACCCCAGTTTGTGATTGTCCTCGTTATAGTGGAATTCTTGAATTCCAAACCAGCAATCCAAAAATAAACAACCGTGCAACTGGAACAAACCACATCTTATCAGTGAAAGTAATCCCTTATCATCCAGACGTTGCCCATAACTTGCCCATGTGTTCCATGTATGGTATATACATCTACAGTACATTTGAATATATTTGGGGCCTATGTTGGTCAATATTGCCTCTATGGACCATTCGCTTTGCCACATATTCCCACTTGATATCCCCATTTGGGATCAGCAAAACATATCCACATGGTGGGTGCCAATGGAAACACATTAAAAAAAAACACAACTCATCTTCAGCAAATTTCCAAGTCAACAGGTTCTCCAAATGTTTCCCACATCACCATCCCATACGCCCAGCAACCGCCAAGTGCTGCTCGTCAGACATTGAGCCATCTCCTTATGAAGTGTTCGGATGGCGCTGTTTTTTCCAATTTGGGCTTAAAACTCGGGGATGCACCCCCAATCTATAACAATTTTCCTGGGAAACCTGAAGATTTGCCATTTTTTTTTTGTAGCCCATTTTCTGACAACAGATTCTTTGGTGAAGTCAAGCGTACACATCGAGGGAAATGGAGGGTGCCGCAAGGCCTTATCTGCAGAGTTCTCCCCGAGTTCGCGTCAGGTTTCTTGGGGCGGTGGCTCATTGACTGTGCCGAAACATCGAAACATCATGACATATTCCAATGTATTCATATTAGTTTATTCATCTAAACTTCATGTGTATTCAATATGGGGATGATACGTGATATGGGATTTTTTCAGTAATATTGATAAGAGCATTGACTTCGAAGCACCCACAAAACTATATCCATACAGAGGACACCACCTAAGGTGGGTATCATCAGGCCTCCAAGATGGTGCTGCTAAGTGCCAATGCCTGGAATGTTTGTTTCTTGTGGGTCAGTTTATATCTACCATCTAGGTATATCTCAAGTCTGGACCAAGGGGAATATAGAAGCAATAATTCAACCATTAAGAGCTGACTTAATGGAATATCCATGGAAATTCAAGGCCCTGAGAATCACCAATTTAAAACGGAAATAGTTACCATCCAACCCACTTCATGGCAGGATGTATCTGTTTTGACTTCCTGCTTTGCAAATTATAAGAAATTGTTTATATATACATATATACGCATATATATATATAATAGGAAAAATGAAATTAATAATTATATATATATGCGTAAATATATACATGTCAAACAAATATAAATGTAAATGTTCAGATATATACGTATATATATATATATAAATACATGTGTATATATATATAAACACTTGTATGTATATATATATATATAAATAAAATTATATATATATAGTGAACCACCCCAAAAATAAGTTTGTTGGTTTCCCACCATTTTCAACATTTTTGGTGAGGTTTCTGAGTTGCTGCAAAGATGCACGTTTGAGGTTAGCGTAAGTTATTACAAATTACAATAAATTATTTTTAACACCCTAGCACCTTTCTAGTAACCCTCTAGTAACCTCTTCCAACTTTGGCTAACGTCTTGGACGATTGCAAGATGTCAGCTGAAATTATAAAAACAAAATAAATAATTTGCTGTTATCGGCCCATGCAAGGGACTCATGTTGTTAGATTAAAACAGGTTAGCCGATGTTATTTTTCCGGGTTTTTGACATGTTTTTGGCATCTAAACTATAGAAAATGTAGGCTTTGATGCTGCATAAAGATGCGTAACAACGTTTTTTATTTTTCAAACGATTGTTTTTGGTTGTAGTTGGTTTTCGTTTTTTGTCGGAGGTTAAAATACGGCATAATATGGTGCTGCTGGTGGAGTTCCGTGCTCCCAATAGTGTGCCTGAAGGAAATGGAAAATGGATTTTGGAGACAACATGAATTGCTGCTTGTCCTCTGTATCTTGGATGAAGAATATTTTAGCCTTGTAGGACGTCAAGTGTTGTCATCTGACGTCATCTGCTGTGATCTGTGTTTAAGAACTGCCTGGGTATTAAACTGAAAGCAAATGACGCCAGATGACAAGATTTTGGTCATCTGCTGTCATCTGCTCTCATCTGGCCCCAAAGAATCAACATTTTACACTGCCAGATAGTCAGCGGACGACATAGCAGATTTCCAAACAGAACATGGAGAGATTCTCGTCTTTGGGGCGTGATGCAATTTCCATCGCCAAATTCCAGCTACTCTGCGGAAGCCCCGGACCTCTGCGAGTTTTCCAAGGAGTTCTTTCCATGCGGAGATCGGACAAGATCTGATTGTTGGAAGGTGCTTCCATCACGTTACAGACATTACATTCGATTCCTGACTGCAGTGTTTTCAACAAATTTCCCCGATGTGGTTAAATGTGTTTAGAAGATACTTCTGATAGCCCTGTGTGCCCCTCCGACCTGAAGACCGTAGTCCCCGTCAGCTTCGATGAACGCCGCAGGTCGACCTGTAAAATCCTCTGATGTCGATGTCCTGAAATTGATGCGCTTCCTGAGACTGTGTTCAAAGAATGATAAGAACAACCATGTTAGGGAAGTGATTCAAAGTGCGCTACCTTTTTCCAAAGATCTAGAACATGCGAGCGCCAACCAGCATGGTCAATCGGCGTTGCGCATGTATTCCTTTTTGGTGATCAGATTGGTTCTTATCTTCCATTTGTACTGGCTTCACAATTTGGGCCGAAACCATCGAAATTTCAAATGCATACCTGACTCACAAGCAGGCCCCGGACCTCTGCGAGTTTTCCAAGGAGTTCCTTCCATGCGGAGATCGGACAAGATCTGATTGTTGGAAGGTGCTTCCATCACGTTACAGACATTACATTCGATTCCTGACTGCAGTGTTTTCAACAAATTTGCCCGATGTGGTTGAATGTGTTTAGAAGATACTTCTGATAGCCCTGTGTGCCCCTCCGACCTGAAGACCGTAGTCATCTGGTGCGGGCCTTTCAGGATTTCCGCAAGTCACCCCAGGTCGCGTTAAGTCACCCCAGCCGCATGGAGAAAAATGCAAGCACCAACGTTCAATGCAATCTATATAAGCAAAACTTGGATGTTGCCTACCTACTGGCGGATCGCGTGGAGACATCGTACTAGCTACTGTCAAGGTCTCATACCGTAAACCAGCTATACACATTGGGACCACAGTATTATACATATATTTGTAGTAACATGATTAAAAATATATGATACAAAGAGATCTATTTTGAGATAATAAGCAAAACAAAAATTAAACAACAAACAAATAATAGCAAAAACTACAAAATAAAACAACATAGAAAAATAGATTAATATCAAACAACCTAGAAAACGAAGTTGTGTGAAAAAACAGGGAACCAACCAAAGTCGCGAGAAAAGTTCCCACTTTCCAAAAGTCGTTGGTTTTGACTTGGGACACCTGACTGAAACACAGCTCACCATCGCCCGGTCCACTTTTTTCCGTTTCAGCGTGAGGCTCTGTCACCATTTCGCTTGAAGGTTCAAAAGATACATGCCAATAGTCTTTTCATGGACGGTTTTTGCAACAGAAGATCTTGAAAGAGCTGCTATATGCCCAACCATGTCTTCATCCATCTGGCAGCTTTGGCACAGAGGGTTAAGTATGCAGGCAAGTTCATCACTGGTAAGAATTGAAAGTGGCAATTTGCCAAGCTGTTCAATAAGCCCATGGACAATATGTACGTATGCATGGTACTTTGGTGGCAGCTTGAACCTCGTTTTGTTTTCTTGGTAAGCAAGTTCACTGCACTCTCTGTAATGCATGCAAAAGGCCATCCCAGATTTGACGGCATCACGTGCCACAGAAGGTTTCAACCACAACCCAGACCTGTAGAGGATCGATAGGAATCGGTTGGCAGCTTGTACAGCATTGAATATGCAAGACTTGTACACATTCCAGTCAGGAGCATCAACCTGTGTAAGTTTGTACTCCAGGAACTTTAGGACTGCATGGGTGTCAGCGCCCTTGAACCATGACCTTACCCATCCACGATTCAAGGCCCTCACCAAACATGCTAGGGATATCACCACTATATATAAATATATACAATACATTAATATATATATATATATGGTTTACATTGGACAATCAAAACAAAAAACACGTTGATTATATAATTTCACGCAATGCACCCTGATGGATATGCGGAATCCCGCGGGAAGCTCAAGAGAGTCCTGGTGAGGCCCGTCATGTGCAAGGGAATGGAGTGGGTGGCGCAATACACCTTCATCTCATCATACAAGGAAGTCAGTTGAGTAGCGAAGTCACCATCTCCAGCGCATCCCCGGTCAATGAGGACTACCTTATCAAGAAATCATTGCAGAACCGCATCCCTAAATCTATGGGTTTTGAATTTGGAATTCTGGGACAGAAATGCAACAACCTAGAAGGGGTAAACTGGTAAACCTTAAATTACTTTACTTCGTGTGATCCCCACCATGACATTTATACATTTTGTTACTGGCAAATCTTCTGGCATTCTATCTGACATATTTTCTGGCATTCGATCTGGCATTCTATCTGGCATATCTTCTGGCATTCTACCTGGCATATCTTCTGGCAGATGTTCTGGCATATCTTCTGGCAGATGTTCTGGCATATCTTCTGGCATATCTTCTGGCATATGTTCTGGCATATCTTCTGGCATTCCATCTGGCATTCTATCTGGCATATCTTCTGGCATATTATCTGGCAAATCTTCTGGCATTCCATCTGGCATTCTATCTAGCATATCTTCTGGCATATTATCTGGCAAATCTGCTGGCATTCTATCTGGCAAACATTCTGGCACTTTATCTGGCATATCTTCTGGCATTCTAGCTGACATTCTATCTGGCATTCTATCTGGCATACCTTCTGGCATTCTATCTGGCATATCTTCTAACATTCTATCTGGCATATCTTCTGGCACTCTATGTGGCATATCTTTTGGCGTGGATACTCGCGGTTGAGGTCCGGCAGGGAACACTGGGCGTGGATGGTCGTGGTTGAGGTCCGGCAGGGAACACTGGGCGGGGATACTCGCGGTTGAAGTCCGGCAGGGAACACTGGGCGTGGATGGTCGTGGTTGAGGTCCGGCAGGGAACACTGGGCGGGGATGGTCGTGGTTGAGGTCCGGCAGGGAACACTGGGCGTGGATGGTCGTGGTTGAGGTCCGGCAGGGAACACTGGGCGTGGATGGTCGTGGTTGAGGTCCGACAGAGAACACTGTGGATCGCGAGTCGCAGTTGAGCAGGAGGACGAGGAGGACAACGAGAGGAGGAGGACAACGAGAGGAGGAGGACAACGAGAGGAGGAGGAGAGGAGAGGAGGAGGAGGAGGAGGACCAGGCAACTGACATAAAATCTAACAACCCTCACCTGGCAGGTGGGGAAAAACATACGACGGGAAAATCCGACAACTAATTGATAAGAGGGACCAAGGCTGAAGCTGCCAGTTCAGAGTAAATGCCCTTGTGGCACACATGGAAAATATCAAAGCAGTAGAAAAGCTCCGGCTGTGGCATGGTTGGTAATCTCATCAATGGACTTGGTGTGCTCCAGGGTCGGCTCTGCAGATAGGTATCATACCAAGCTGCGTCAATTTCATGGTCATGGTAAGGTACATTCTGGGCACCTGCTAAACACAAGTGACAGATACACGAGTTTTCCGTGGGACGTCCTTTCCGGGAAAATGAGCGGGACAGATTTCCCAATTTTGCCAACATTGGCCAATCTCCCTTCAATCCCAGCGGGACCACAAACAATTGTACCCATTTTTCGTGAAAGCTCACTTGCACACCATTTGTGTAAAGCTCCAAGATGTCAGCAGTGATGGCCTTGAGCACGGTGTTCAGCCTGTGTCCATCTTTGTTCTTCTTTCTGTAATGCTGGGAAAGTAGGGTGGTAATGAGAAATCTGGTTGAGTAGCAAGATCCAAGGATGTTCAAACCCTGGCACTGGTCAAGGCGATTCCCAGAATCTTGTGACAAAGAAGTTCCTTGACCCAAAACACTTTGGAAATTGAAGATTAGAATTTGTTCTTTCTTCAGATGCCGACCCTCATCAGCGTGAAGGTAAATGGGTACGAAAACGGTGTTCTCAGAAGGCTCTGCACCCATCTTTGTAAACACGGGATGCTCCGGCCAAAGCCGCTTGTAATTGCACCAAAATTGTTTCAATCCATCAAAGCCCAAACCGCCAAAAAGGCACTTGTCCAGTTTGTTGTGTAAAGCCAAAGTGCGTACCATGTCTGAAACCTTCAGCCATGGAAGAGGCCTTTTCAATCCAATTTTAATTGAACTCACTGGGACTTTCACCCTCAAACCAGCATCTTGGAAGGCTTCTCGTGATATGGATTCATGTCTGGTAGTGGCTGCCCGGTTTAAAGTCTTAAGCAGTTTAGAGCTTTGGAGGGGCATGTCATCGTCTATAGCACTGCATTCTTGCCAGAAACCCGCGGCGATGCCACAAACAACTCTTTCGGGGACCTTGACAGGGCACAACAAGTACATTATACCCAACGATGCTTCAACATATTTGTCAACACTTTTTTTTTGCCTATATATGTATGTATATATATATATATGTATCAAAATTATGAATATGATTGTGTATATATATATATATGGCTTTAAAATATTTGTAAACACACTTTTGGCCAACTCCCACCCCTAGAGACGAAGCTTTGGCTAGTGCTTTTGCAGCTGGCCCGGCAGGCACGCTTGATGAAGAGTCTCGCTTACCTGCGCTGGGGGCTCAATCAATACTTGGACATGGGGGCCCTATCATGCCAAATTAAGCCATTTGTTTGGCCGTCATTTTATAGTATATACCTTTCAGTGATAAAATCTTGTTGCAAAGACTTGACGCAATCTTTTGAGCCACACGAAATTGTGATTGCTATCCATGCCAAGTGTCAGAACACACGGCCCCAAGACTAGGTATAAGTTGGCAGCTTTGCTACCGATCCCCATGTCCCCACGTCCAAGATTGCGACGGGATGTGACAGGAAGGTTTGAATCAAACACTAGAATCAAAAATGTATTGGCTTGGAACCTACGAGATCTATGAGAACACAAAACAGTCGCAAAGACGTCAAAAGTTGACTGGAACTAGTGTGCCCAGCCATGCCCGGGCAGTGCGGAAGACCCACAGCCAGCTGACACATCACAAGGCTACTTCTTCTTGGTGGCCACTTTGGGCTTGCCCTTGGCCTTGGACTTCGCCTTAGCTTTGGGCTGGGGAGATTCGGATGCCTCAGTTTCATCACCATTTTGATCATCATCATCTTCATCTTCATCTTCTGCACCTTTCGCCTTGGTGGTCTTGGCCTTTGCCTTCGCCTTGGACTTTGGAACCTTCCCCTTCTTCAGGATGGTCCTAAGGGATGCATCAAATGGGAAAAGATATGGGGAGAGGAATTGGGCAGAAGCAAGTAACGATGATATCTTCAACCAGGATTATCATAATATTCTTCTTGTGCATGTTTCCAACTACGCGTTGCCAGATTGCATGCAACATCATGCCACCAAGAAGCTTTTTCAGTTTGTTCTGCTCCATCACGGCCTTGGAGCACCTTAGAGTCCAAAGGGTTTTATATATTGGTGGCATCAAGTTTTATATATCGGGGGCCCTTCTTCCCAGGACCTATACCCACTTATAATCGTTGCAGACCTTTTCATTGGTTGGGTGAATGGGTGGTCAAAAGTTCAGTTGAAATCGCTTGGACCACCAGGAACCAGACTCCATCTCCACCTTTCGGTACACCTCCTGCAGCTTCTTGACTTTCCTGAGCGGAGGCAAGGAAAGGGGCCGGCTCATGGTCACAGGTCAGGGTAAAAAAACATGTCAGCCTGACAGTCCAAGTAGTCAAGTGTCTCCTTATCCAGCTTGCCATCAGCATCGAAAGTAGCTTTGTAATCTACGATCTCATCATGGCAAATCATCAGGGACTTCTGGCGAGCATCGATGGATGTCTGCGCCCTTGGATGTTTGAGGAACAAGCAGGCAGGCAAAGAAATAGCGAGAGCAAAGGGTTTCTTGAAGGTTTTTTTAACCAAGAGACTCCAAAGCAAGGGAACCACCTAGATCTTGCAACTGCTTGCTCACAGTGCTAAGGGAGGACGCCTGCTTCAGAATCTGTTCGAGTATGGTTTCTGCATTGTCAATCTCCTACCAAAGTTGAACATAAATCAACGGACATATGATCATGCGGATATCTTTAGATGTTATGCTGTTGATTCAAAAAACTTTCAACCAAATAGGGTCCTCCAAAGGTTCTTCCGATTCAGGGGAAGCCAGACGCCGAGACTTTGACTTCTGCAAGTTGTCACTTCCCTTGCTAGACTTTGCCCTCTTTCCCTTGCCCTTCTTGAGCTTCTTCGCGCTGCTTTCACCTCGTTTGGACGCCAGGTCTTCGGAGCAAGACCCTGCTGATCGGGAGTCGTCGGCATCTGAGCTGTCATAATCGGACGAACCAGGGTCGGACTCTGAGGCAAGGTTGGTGGTATCTCCAAACCTATCATTGTCATCAAAATCATCGGGACCCATGTCGTTCATGTTCAAGGACCTAGTGTGGTCAGAACGGACTTGGTGCTCTCGTTCACCAAGCCATTCCTTTTCAACAAAATACCGACGAAGGTTCTTCTCATAGGTGTCTCTCCTGCCCATGGGTATACCCATGAATTTTCCGGGGCCTCCCAACAAAAATCGTCTTATATACATTGAGCCTGATACCATGATTTTACAGAATTTGCATTAATGAGAACACTATATAGGTTCATGTAATCTGCATAACTGCCAGAAATGTTGCGCAAGATGGTAGTGAAAAGAATCGATTATTCCGGGAAGCTTGTCAAAAGCGAGTATCTTTAATGCGCCCCAATAAAGAAAGGAAAACCCCGGGGACCTTTGGGCCTGGAAAGGGAAGGAGCGGAATTTGCCACATCCCGTAGTCTAACCATTTCCAAAAAGTGGATTGTGTTTGTTCATGTTCTAAGGGAATTTGAAGCAGGCAAGGCTAAAGATTGAAGGTATAGCGACTATCCCACAATAAACTTCATACCACTAAGCCGCTTCACCCAAGGTTGATGGCTACAGACACCCACCTGATCCTAGCTGCCAAGAGAAGAATCCAAGATTTATAATTATATATAATATAATATATATATATTATATATATATATATCTCTTATCAATAAATCCATCCGTCCCATCCGTTGAAACACGCAGGTCCTGATGCAGGTCGCCTTTCTTCGATGACAATAGCGCTTGATGGCCTTGATTCGAGGCCTCAGCCGGCTGAAGGAAGTTGGGAATCCCACGATGAACTTGGGTACACACACATATATATATATATATAAAAAAAAACATCAGTATAAATATAAATATATATATATACATATATATATATATATATATACGTTTGAAATATAAACGCACGAAGCTAGACACATGTACATATGTATACAGCCATGCGACTCTTTGAGACGCAATTCGGTTCTCATCTCTTCCTCCGTGAAAAACCCACCTTTCACCGTTTCCTTCCCAGTCTGAGATCTAGAGAGCTTCAGCTCCGCTTTGCGAACAAAGGTGTCCTTAATGTGCCAAGGTTTCGAGAAACCATAGATTCAAGAACTGCGTTAAAGTTGGAACGCTATATGTGCTTCATTGTCGATTTTTATTATATGATCCATGTTTCATGTTGCACCCGGGAATTTGCGTACATGAATTTATAGATGAACAACTTTTGGGGTTAAAAGGGTTTAACTTCTGAGCGGTCACACAAATTTGATCCAAAAGCTATACATCTTAATTGGCAGTACCCAAGGGTCAGCGTCCCCTCCAGCCTTTTGATAAGCCTTAATCAAATCCTGCTGTCCATGTCCCCCCTTCAGGAATTGTTTTGCTATTGCGTCACTTACCTTTCGTGCTCCCCGGGAGTTCTTCTTGCACAACCTGCGAATTGCCTGGTAGGCAGCCTCCTTGGAAAGAGACTTTGCAGGCTTGGGCCCCGAAAGCTTGGTGATCGAAGGAATCACCTGGCCGGCGGACAGTGGCAAATGAGTTTGTAGGAGGAAAACAATTTCCTCTGGAACAAGTCCTTAAGAAGAAAGTTTTGAGGACCCCTTTGCAACCTTAAATTACCACACAATGCTTTGAGTCCCCCAGGACATCTTCATTTGTATGTTCACTCTCGTAGTTCTGTGTTTAACTCATATTTCATCTAGACTTATGGCAGCAAACCATATTTATTTATTTATATAACGTTTCGAAATTCATGCCTTGCATGTATTTCCCCAAGTCTAGCCTGATTCCCGAAGCGTCCATGCGAACCAGCGAAAGGGTGCACCTGCAGGGCTACCCATCCAACATGGATCAGAAACATGTTGGTTGGGTTCAGCTGATCTTGGCAGTTGGCACTTGGGTCAAAGAGATATGCATGGCTTTTCGACAATGAGATGGGAAATCTTCACACATTTGGTTCAGGGGAGTGTTGCATCTGATTAAAGTAACCGATTGAACCTCAACCAAAATTGTACTATATAAATCCATTCGGATTCGAATTCATTCCGTATTGAGTCCACTCGATCATGTAAAAAAAAGAACTATAATGTTGGATGCATCTTTCATAAGTTCTTTCTTTGTCTTACTCAACTGGTTGGGTACGCTCAATTTGGGGTATATAAAATGGAGGCCCCCGGGAGGTTGTTAATGTAAAAGGTATACCTATAATCCAAAGGTTGCAAACATTCCCTGAACTGAATGCCAACGCCTGTCGGCGACCGGCGTCACATCGATGGTGGTCCTTCTTTCTGCGTTGCACCTGGATGCACGGGGCAAGTGTTGAAAATCTCACAAAAAGGGGACATCAAAAAAACAGTATCCGAAACATTATACCTCCTTAAATTGGATATCATTAAATGGGGTGACGATATTTTTGTGGCCCAAACATGTTCCAATTAAAAGTGGTACCCAAAAAACCTCAAGCGGAGGGGGTTCCTTTTGGCAATTTTTTGGGTTGTTGGCTATTCTGAGGTGGCAGCGAATCCAACCCGCAAAAAAGTTTAGCCACTGACTGAATAAGTCCTGTAGCTATCTAAAGAAAGTTTCCAACCTAATTTGGCTGAAACAACGGGTGACCCAATGATATGATAGCCCTTATATATAGGTGGTTCTAGTACCTCCTATCTTTGAATGGTTCTTGGAATCCAAACATGTATATGATATAATCCAAGCATTTATATAATTGAATAAATATACATATATATATATACATATTTAATTATTTAATTTTGTATGTGTTTTATTGACTTATACTATGTTTTATGATATATATATATATTAAACATATATATTTCAAACATGTATAATATATATCTATTATTTTCAAAATGTAAAATATATTTAATAAGAAAATATATTTTAAATATAAATAATGTATTGAAAATAAATAAAAAGACATTTATTTTTTTATTTATCTATAATATTTTTTATTATAGATAGACATATATATATATATTTCGAAATGTATATTTTTAAAATATATAATATAGAAATATAATATATATAATAAATATAATAATAAATATATATATAAACTATTTTAAATATATATATATATTTATTAATATATATATATATATTGAATATGTTTATATATATATATTATATATATACATAAATTATATATATATAAATGTTAAATATATATATATATATTATATTTATATAAACATAATATATATTATATCTATATTATGTAAATACATATTATATATATTTATATTATGTGTATATATATATAATGTATATTTTAAGATCACCAACTGCCCAAACACATATTTCTGCCAAAGCTCCCCAACCCATTTCTTTATATCAAGCTGGCCTCCGGGAGGAAATCCTGGTGATCATCATCATGGACGTCCGAAGCAGTATCTGGAGGCAGCGGGGTGGCAGAAAGGACCGACATGATATCTGAATCCTGTACGGTGTCGAACCCATCGTCACTGTCCTAAGATGTCGGTTGATCAGGTTACAAAATGGAAGTGGGAAGAAACCATACACACATTGTGCACATGCATGCTTAGATATGCTGAGCGTCCTGTGGATGGGATCCATGGAAACCAGAAGGCGAACACGGAGAAGTCAAATCGTATGGATCACGTGTAACGGAATCCGGAAACCTCTTTGGAGCACCTGAAGTAGCTTCAGCTGGCCTTTTGTGTTTCCTGTCCGGCTTCAACGTGAACACCTGTGCATCCTGTTCTTTGTCAAGGGTGTAGTCTGATGCATGCAGACTGTCATTGACCCCACCCACATGTCTCACTGGAGTAGCTACAGGTCTAGTTGTTGGAACACTCACCTCACCACCACCTGCCGTGATCTGAGAAGCTCCACATGTGGCGACAGGTTCAACGACTTGAGTGGGCTCAACATCATCGGCGGCCGGAGTTGTGGGAGAAGGCGGCAGTTCGGGTCCATGGGGTGTACCAGGGAGCCTATGTCCATTGGTCCGGGGTGTCTTGAACCTTTCAACCTCCTGGGTTTCAACTTCCTCAGCTGGAGCAGCATTGCCAACCAAACCCCCCACAGCAACAGTAGTTGGAGGGATCTTAGGTTCGGCTTCAGGCCGTACTTCCTCAGGCGCAGGGTGGTCTGTTGGTGGAGGAGCATTGCCAACAGAACCCCCCACAGCAACAGTAGTTGGAGGGATCTTAGGTTCGGCACCAGGCCGTACTTCCTCAGGCACAGGGTGGTCTGTTGGTGGAGGAACATTGCCAACCAAACCCGGGGCCCCCACAGCAACAGTAGTTGGAGGGATCTTAGGTTCGGCGCCAGGCCGTACTTCCTCAGGCACAGGGTGGTCTGTTGGTGGAGGAGCATTGCCAACCAAACCCGGGGCCCCCACAGCAACAGTAGTTGGAGGGATTTCAGGTTTGGCTTCGGGCCGTGCAACACGACCAGCAGCATCTTGAGCTTCCTTCAATAGAGCCACTTTCTCTTGAAGTTTTCTCTGTAGTTGATCACGCTTGGCACGAGCTACCTACGCATGCTCATGGCTGATATATACACCATGCAGTATATACCAAAGATGAAATCAATTGACATATTTGTTTGTAAAATATGAAAGGTCATCATGTATAACATATGAATATGCTTGATGCGCCTCATACGGGTCTTCAACTTTAACTTGCTTGGTCACATAGCTCAACCCCCGTGCCAGGGTCGCACAACTGTGCGAGGGAGGCAAACTCATGGTCTCTACACTGCGCTTTTCAATGGTCCCTGAATGCGAAAATTCGAGCAAAATCCAGCCGAAAAATGCAAAACGTCAATTTATCGCAACTTTATCGCATTTTTATCGCAACTTTATCGTTTTTTTTTTGCGAAAAATTACCGTTTTCAGGTCAAACAGTGACATTTTCGCACTCAAATGCGAAAAATCGTGCCGTTTTCAGGTCAGACTGTGACATTTTCGCACTCAAATGCGAAAAATCGTGCGCACCGTTTTGTCCCAAATGCCAGTCATGACAAGTGTTGTCTGATGACACTATCTAAATCCAAACCCTCAGGACACACCATGTGCTTGTTGGTCGTCAGATATGCAATTACTTCTCCCATCTTTGCATCCTCCCAGAGATCCGTCCAGTCCAAGTTGTCAAAGAACT